GTTTCGATTATTTAGAAAAATTCTGTGTTAAGAATATTAAAGTATGTTTTCACAACATTCTATACTACTCAAGCAAAATTTAACCCGATTCTGTAATATTACCATAGTTAATCTGTCGTCTCGTGACAAACTAACTGTAGTAATATGAGAGAATCGGGTGATCTTAAACCTCTTTTGAGGAGTATATATAATTTTAAAGGATTAGCACGACAAAGAACTCGTTATGAATTGTACGAATTTAACATCTCATGTTTGACAATCAATTGTCGAATGCGCAGGTCTAACAAAAGTATTAAGTCGTGCGCAGTCAGCCTGAATGCGTTAGATCACTTGTTTGGCAAAATGCGATCCATATACTAGTATATAGTAGTGTACTGTATAGCATACACAAATTAATTTCATATACATTAACATTAGTAAGTATGCGTACATATGCTTGGCATACTGTGTCCACTTTGAATAAATCACAGAAAAGTTGAATGCTGAATACATTGACGTTTTAAAGTTACACCCAATATTATTGGTCACCGAATACCTCTTGATTGTAAAAGAAATACGGTTATCTCTCAGAAGACAAAAACGTAGCTTTATCTGGATAAACGGGCCGTCATTTCTACCTCTGAAAACGCAATCGAAGACCGTCATGCCTTGAAGGGGAAACGTCAAAAACTTGTTAAGGAAATCAGCACTTCGGATTCTCAGAATATCAAAAACATTTTCCGTGTGCTAAAACGGTCCATTTTGCTTTTATGATTTCTTTGTTTGGTTTTATGTTCTCTGCTGCCCTTAATGGATTATGAAAATAAAGTTGAAAATAATGGAGCAAAGCGGTTTTGAGACAGCCCGTTTACCGGTGACCCAGAGTCAGAGGTCACGCGGTGAGGTCATCCGAAACCGTCAGTCGTCGACAAGAACAATAAGCATACAGAATATGTCGGCTGTTCATTACCACAACCGAAAACCACCATTGGGTGCGAGTTCAAACAAGAACATTGATATAGAACCGGTTGTAAAACTGCACCTTGGCATAGGCCTGTGTGATAACATTTGGTCTCACCTGCTTCTTGCAGCTGCAGAACATTCTATTAAATATGCAGATTTAACATACGCTTGAATTATTTTCGTAAACGGCAGGGGAGAGGGTGTTTAGTTTAGATTCTTTGTGCATGCATGCGTTTTAATATCTTATCCCAACTATTATTGTGGTATAATTCATGGTTCATAATATTTCATCTTTCCTCATTCGTTTCTTGATTATTATGATCTCACATGCTCTTTTAGTTTCTCTTCCGTGGATATTGAATTTAAAACCGTAATCATAATTAAACAACGTATTTTAGGTAATACAGAAATAATGCTTTTCCTTTATAATTCACCGACGTCGGTGCTTTGTAAACTGCTTTAGTAAATCAAACATTGATTGAGGCAAAATATTTTGGGTTTTTAACATCAAACGTAAGATAAGTGTGTTATTCAAACAAAGACTCCCCCTGATACTGGAATCAAAGAACATGCGGATATTTCCACACAGTAATTAGATGAGGGAAGTTTGTCGTCTGCCTCGCGAGTCGTCTGCTGGTGATGAGGTGCGTGCACCACGCGTGTCGCGCTGAAAAATGACAGACGTCATCTCTTTATCTCCGTGCAGATCTTAAAGTGTCTAATAAATCATCTCCCACGGGTTGAAGTTTACCTTGTATCAGCATGTATAGTCAGTCAGTTTAGAGACATATTGTCCCTCAGGTTCAGTGGTAGGGAAAATAGTAGGAAAGTTGTACGCTATGCTTTGATTGATATTTACGCATTGTATAACTAATGGTTATGATTGGGGAGACACGCTTTCTTCCTAAAGGCAGGAATCACACGGCAGACGCAGGAACTATTACATAGTTATTTGCAAGGGATAATTGAATAAAAACAACCTTTTTGCAACAATGGTCAATTAAAAACGCAGAAAGCGGCTACGTTATGCAGTATCCTAAATTGTTATATAATCTTTGTTAAATGTAGATCTTAATTGTTGATCATCTACAAATATCTCACTAACCGCAATTAATCCTTGTTAAATGAAGATCTTATCTGTAGATCATGTACAAATGGCATCTGACTAACCGCATTTAATCCTTGTTAAATGTAGATCTTAACTGTAGATCATTACAAATCGTATATGACCAACCGCATTTAATCCTTGTTAAATGTAAAATGATCTTATGTGTCTATCACGTACAAATTGTATCTGACCAACCGCATTTCATCCTCGTTAAATGTAGAATGATCTTATCTGTAGATCATGTACAAATGGCATCTGACCAACCGCATTTAATGCTTGTTAAATGTAGATCTTAACTGTAGATATTACAAATCGTATCTGACCAACCGCATTTAATCCGTGTTAAATGTAGATCTTATTTGTAGATCATGTACAAATGGTATCTGACTAACCGCATTTACGTATCCTAAATTACCATTCAGATCCCCAGGTATTTCAGAGATGTTAAATATAGTTAGCTTAACACTAGACCTGGGTGATTGTGTGTCGTCACCCATGATATCAATCACTAGTTTGCTAAGTCTAGATCTAGTGAGTGATAGTGCAGGACTATTTCATACTGTTTGGTATGTATAAAGAGAACGGGTGCCATAGGTCCATTTCCATTAGTTTTACCAACGATTTGATACCCCTACATAGTAAGATATAACCTTCCATGCCTGTTTAAAAGGACAGTTTATTAATTGTGGGAGTAGGCAGTCTACAAGTGAGTGAGTTGGGTTTAACGCCGCTTTGAACAATATTCCAGTTATATCAGATGCGTCAGTTTAATGCGGAAGGAAAGCCCGAAGTGATGCATGTCTCAGACGTTTACCAGGGCAGTGGTGCTGACAAACCTAGGAACAGTGTCTGGGCGAACTGGGATTCGAACCCACAATCATAAGGTTTTGGTGTGCCCAGAGGACGCAACTCTGCACAACGAATTACGGCGCCTAAGATGACTTGCCACCCGTGCCCCAAGTCTTCAAGTGAATTTCAGAAGAGTTACTTAATACATGGCATTGGCAGTTTAAGCGGGTACTTCAGAGATGGCAAAACCTTGTTCAGCTTCATATCAGACCTGGCTGATTGTGTGTCATCGTACCCTGATGGAGGGGTACGTCACTCATGCTTTCAACCACTAGTTTTCCGGGTCAAGATCTACTGCGTGATACAGCTGTACTATTCTACGAGGGTCAAACAACAATTCTCTGTCGGTCATATCTACAGGTTCTCACGGCCACTAAATGATGGCGGAAGAAGCATTGAGAAATCTGTGATCTCACACGTCCCCCGCAAATATTTATCCAGCCTGTCATTAGGTGACCAGTTCCTACATCACAGTAGATCAGTCAGGGAGAGGACGTGGATGTCCGGGACACATCCGTAAACAGGGATGACAGCAACAACAGCCGCTGATCCCGCCTCGGATTGTATTATATCTACGTCAGTGATGTACTAAGCGATTTCGACTAGTCGACTGAAAACTACAATTGCTAAATTTCCGGAATATGAGAAGGGAGAAATGTCCCTTTAGTTACGTACAGACGATCGGACTTCTGATTTTTTTAACATGAACGAGGTCTGATTTCGTTATTTAATTAAGTTGCTCGACTGTATTCAAAATTTGGATTATTTGTTGAGCGGTTATTAAATGTTCATAGTGAGTAAGTATTGTTTTACGCCGTTTTTAAACAATATTCCAGCAATATCACAACGGGGAAACAACAGAAATGGGCTTCACACATTGACCCCATTGAGGAATCGAACTCTGGCCTTCGGCGTTAAGAGCGAACGCTTTAGCCACTAGGCTCCTCCGCAGTCACTAAATGTTCAGAATGAGTTAGAAGTCGGAAAGAATGCTCATGCTTAGTATTCCACGTGCATGCACAACCTTTAATAACTCCATGTTGACAAGTCTTAGATCTTCACATTGCACGTTAAAGACGATATGCACCTTTTATGTATATTTGTAATTAAAGACTTTATTCCTAAAAAACCTCATCGTAAATTTCAAACACATGAATATGAGATGTCACGCTTTAATATACACACAAGGTGTTCCACATAACTGCTGAAACTCGAGTGTACGCTAATCTTTTGATTCCTGACACCTGCAGAAAACGCTTCACATTCAGAGCATTGAGTATATACTTGAAATATGTGTTTTGTGTATCCTAACACGTGACTCTTATTGGAATATATTGCGCATGAATGACCTTGAATCGTCACAATTTATGTATATATGTACGATGGATTCGTGAGATAAGCGGGAAAGTAGAGGACATAACACCCAGGTGAATAAAATGATTTATTCACTGGGTTGTATAGACCATAAAATTACAATAGATTTGTTTGCTTGGAATCTAATTCGTAAGCTGTACGGGGTTTTTTTCGTTCAGTAAACCCGACAGGGCATTGTATTGTTATCCGGTCCCTATTGTCTGTTACCAAATATGTCCAAACTTAGCCTGCTATAAAAGGAGGCGGTCGTCGCTTGGCTCGTTACATTTAACGTTCAGACTTTGGCTTTTTCAGGTGGCGCAGCAGTGAGTTACACATAAAGTAACGCAATTCTCATCGTAGTTATACTGTAACATCAAATAACCTTTTCTGGAATTACTGCATACTCGTGTGTTTCGTGTTGACGAATTGAAATTTAAAATAGCAAAATAACTCTGTACTTTAATTTATGTTAGTAACACAATGAGGTATTTTAAATAAGCACGCGTTTTGGATACTTCCACGGAACATATCGATCAAAAAAGGTTATTTAGTGAAATGATTACATGCGGTATCAAAAGGTATTTCTTATTAAACACAATATGATTAATGGAAAAACTAAACGAAGTTGCTTTCGGTATATTTCAATTACTCATATGGATTTCAGAGTCATGTATTTATTCTATAACCAAGACATTTTACTTCATGATACACCCTACTGATTCAATTAAAAAGGATAAAACATATATAATTTAATAAATGTTTATTATAAGATGCAAATAAAAAAGACATGCATCAAAAAATATGTGGACGGAATGCTGCAGTGGTAAGAACAATAATACAAGCTGGTATGTGAAAGAGATGTAACAGGAAATAAAATATACGATGTCTGACATAACATCGGTGTCACTTTAGAATCGAACATGCATGACACCAAGAAATGTCAGTGGCAATATTTGAAATTCTGTGTTCGGAAAAGGGTAAGAATAATCACAACATGCGAATGCGTTCAAATTAACTCAGGATTCACATGCTACGAGCATAGTAGAATACACCCAGGTTACCATTAACATCAATGTATAGAAATTGCAAATATGCACAACCTCTTAAGTGAAATGGGTAGATTTCCACTGAGACATTACACTGACTGAACATTCGCAGGTACAAAACGTCCTCCGGCGGTTTAGGCATTTCCGGGTAGGCCTACCTACGCACGGGGAGCGGCGTCGAGCACCTGTATTGACCATCTGCATAGGCTTGTCAACTTAATAAGATTATTTCATCAATGCCGGATTGTCCATTGTGCCCACTGAGGTGATAACAAAAATATTAATATAGAAAAACACCATCAGTTAATATTATATAAGCCTCGTTGTTGAACAGTACAGTTATCAAGAAATATAAAGAACTAGTTGTCTCATTAATAAAAATAAATATATATGTTGACATATAGGAAGGTACAGTTTTGGTCATTTGAAAAAAAAGACAAATATAAAGAACAATGACAGGAATTGTTAATTGCGATAAATGTGTTAAACGCATACAAAACACAACACAACCCTTACGACTGATTGGGTAAGACAAAAGTGTAAGGGAAAATAGGTCGAACAGCAAAAAGCCCCAAAACACAGGTGTTAAACAGGACATAAGTAAGTTGATAAAATCTATGTATGGTATGTTGATACATTCGCCCGAGTTTACCTAAACCAGTGACACGCCGTGTCATTAAACACAGCACCCGAAACGGCGTTTTCCTAATTCTAATCAGAATCAGTTTGACAATAAAACGGATTTACTCTTCAAACAAAAATATTTCTGTAAGAACCCATAACCGGACAATGCATTAGATGTGTACACACCGGGACCAGTCAAGCAGTTCGCACATACGTACTGCTGTCCATTATTAACAAACTGGAGTATGTTGACCCCATTCCCAAGGCTCCATTACGGTCTAAGATGTCCTCTGTGCATGGGTGCATAGTGAGTCTTACCCCTTGTCCAGCGAGCGGAGGGGACACAATGGGGCCCGGGTGGGAGGAGATACTGAACAGACAACATTACAGTGAGCACAGCCTGGCACCCCACACCTGTGAACACCTGAGGGAAGCACTCATACCTGCACATGACAGGAATATAATCTATTTTCAACAAGTAGTTGGTGATCTTGTGAACGTTTGTTTACAGGTGTTATCAAGATCTTGACTACTGGAGTGAACATTTTTCAGTTAAACGCTTTGGGTATATTGATAAACTGATTAAACAGAATGCAGCTTCACATTAATTAATCAAATTAATTGGAAATATATGGCAAACCTGACTTAATGAAGTTGAACCACACAGTGGTGAAGGTTGCAAAACAACAAAGAATGTCGTAGGCCATTCCAAATTTGAGGCATCAGTGACAAAAATGCAATGTCCTATTTTGACCTGTACCATATGTTCCCGTGTTTCTTTCGGGTGAGCAATTGACTTGCCATTTCATGTGTATAAATTAATTTAACTTAACCTAAATGTCAAAGTTAATTGAATTTAATTACATTAATCACTGATGTCATGAAATTCACCGAAGTTGTAGTAAGTCGTGGATTACGTCAGGTCACATCCTGGGTGATGTGGAAGTGGTTGGTCACATAAGAGATACTGTAGATTGGTCGTTTATGGCTGAAAAAATGCTGATGCGACGTTAAATTTTAACTCGCTCACTACTGTAGATTGTGAGTGAGTGTCAAACTCATCTATCTACATAAGAAACAAAATCCCTTTTGAAAATGACTTTAACCAGACGTATAGGAGGGAGCACTGAATGGCTGTGTGACAGTCTGTGACCGCACAGGAGATCACACACAATCACATGAATGAAAGTCGCATATTTTCACATGAAATCACATCAGCGGAAAATCAGTCATCTGCATCTGTAGAATGGGTCTTTAAGCATTCTCTAGGATCAGACCATATTGTCAGAAACACATAGAGGAGACTCTTTCGAGTGTGATTGAATACTTGACAGCAATTTGTGGACAACACAAGAAATGATCATTGGAACGGCCTCAACAGGTGTGGGTAGTGCTTCAATACAGGGGTGGGGTATTAATACCCCTCTAACAATCTAGACTCAGGGAACAATTATTGCTTAACATTTCGCACTGGAGGAATTTTCAAGAATAGATATCACATGAAAGTGTGATCTATTTTTAGCTAAATGTTTTCAAGCAAGACATGTCTTCTTTCAACTCAAGGATAATGAACACTTTTCCTATACACAGGAATGTTGATGTTGTTGAATGTGTTTATGATCTTTGCAAGTGAAGGCTATTACAGCAATGTAGCCAATCTCATTAATATCAGATCTTCTACACCTGGATCCCTCTGCCCAGTAGGTATCCTTTCTGTATAAAAGATCTGAGTTAATGACATTGACAATGTAGCAAATATGTTCCACATATAAATTTCAAAAGTGATGATTTTGATATTTATTTTGTATTTATCAGCAAATGAATTTAAAAAAAACAGTGGAGACAAAATTAGGAAAAACTATTAAAAAATTTAAATGCATGACAAGGAAAACAATGGCGAACAACTTAGTTATTGTATCTACACATTGCACCTGATGAAGTCGCCTTAAAATGTCCTGTATATACAAATGAATAAAGAAGCTGTTATCCATAATACCCCTTGTCAAAAGAATATCCAACTTCTAGTTATCCATAACACTCCTTGTTATATGTATAAACAACTTCTAGTTACCAATAATACTCCTTGTCAAATGTATATCCAACTGCTAGTTATCCATAATACCCCTTGTCTTATGTATATCCAACTTCTAGTTATCCATAACACTCCTTGTCATATGTATATCCAACTTCTAGTTATCCATAACACTCCTTGTCATATGTATATCCAACTGCTAGTTATCCATAATACTCCTTGTCACATGTATATCCAACTTTTAGTTATCCATAATACTCCTTGTCACATGTATATCCAACTTTTAGTTATCCATAATACTCCTTGTCATATGTATATCCAACTTCTAGTTATCCGTAATATTCCTTGTCACATGTATACATAATACTCCTTGTCATATGTATATCCAACTTCCAGTTATCCATAATACTCCTTGTCATATGTATATCCAACTTCTAGTTATCCATAATACTCCTTGTCATATGTATATCCAACTGCTAGTTATCCATAATACTCCTTGTCACATGTATATCCAACTTTTAGTTATCCATAATACTCCTTGTCACATGTATATCCAACTTTTAGTTATCCATAATACTCCTTGTCATATGTATATCCAACTTCTAGTTATCCGTAATATTCCTTGTCACATGTATACATAATACTCCTTGTCATATGTATATCCAACTTCCAGTTATCCATAATACTCCTTGTCATATGTATATCCAACTTCTAGTTATCCATAATACCCCTTGTCATATGTATATACAACTTCTAGTTATCCATAATACTCTTTGTCATATGTATATACAACTTCTAGTTATCCATAACACATCCCTGTAAAAATTTTGAGTATGGAATGTACCGGTAATTATTCAAGTCTGACTTATATTTTTTTTTTTCTTTCAATTAATTTTATATATAAAGTAAATAGTGGAAGGAATATACAAAGCATGAGATATCAGTTTGATTTATCTTGACATATAATTGTTTGTTTTTCAGAGCACAAATATAACACCAGCTGTGTGAAACCAGAAGGCATCACATTCGTCAAGGCACAGGTCTGTGGTTTTAACATGTTTAAGGATGAACAACTTCACATTGCTTAAGGCGAAAATGTCAAACATCTGACAATTTTCTAAATGATTAAATATGCTAAATATGTAATAAATATATTTTTAGAAAGATTAAATATACAAAATAGATAATACATTATTAAGTAATAGCAGCCAGCTGCTGACAAATGCATAAAATACAAAATTTATATAAGAAAATGTTACAAAATACAAAGAAATTAAAGCAATATACTATGTGAAGGTCATTGACCCACATGGTCCAAGTATTTATGAACAAACAGCATGGGTATCCAAACAATACTGTTTTCAGTATTACATGTCCAGATTGACAAGGTGTCCAGACTAAACAGGTTCTGCTGTACAGGCCACACATGGGTGTCATACAAATTTACATGGTTCTTACATATTATTTCATGCCGGATGGGACTAAAATAGTTTTATGCCTAGTCTTCTAGTTTGGGATATTTGATGCAACAATCAATTTTCTCTTTATGATGGTATGCAGCATGCAATTACTACGGAACCGTTGGAAGAGTTACCCACAATGGCTGTGTGAAAAAAAACTGGGGAAAAACACGACAATAAAACAATGCCTCATGAGACTAAATAGTCTTAGACCCGAGACTGCTTTTCGGTCCTCACATATAAAATGAAATGTGATCAGTTGAAACAAGAAACAAAAAGAGTTAATTTTCTGGTCTTTTTGACTTGATTAAGAGAAATCATGAACTTTCAAGTCCTTGTTTTGAAGCAGTGCCTAGCTACACATACCAGGAAATATGTAGGCTCTATCACTTTCCTCAAACAGCACCTACTTAAAACTACTTCCAACAAACTAGGAGATACAAAACTTGAAAACCAATCATATCAAGGAGCCAACACCAACATTACAAAATACACTTTCATTTCCTTGATAGTCTGTATGTATCAATTTCCAAATTTACATAATAATAATAACAAATAATAATAATATAACCTCTATAGCTAACTGTTTGTATTGCAGACATCACATGCAACATTGTTGTAACATTGTTGTTTTTTCTGAGGGCTTGTTACAGTTAACTGTTTGTATCACAAAACATTACATGCAACATTGTTGTAACAGTGTGGTTATTTCTGAGGGCTTGTTATTGGTAACAGCTTGTATCACAAAACATTACATGCAACATTGTTGTAACATTGTTGTTATTTCTGAGGGCTTGTTACAGTTAACTGTTTGTATCACAAAACATTACATGCAACATTGTTGTAACAGTGTGGTTATTTCTGAGGGCTTGTTATTGGTAACAGCTTGTATCACAAAACATTACATGCAACATTGTTGTAACATTGTTGTTATTTCTGAGGGCTTGTTACAGTTAACTGTTTGTATCACAAAACATTACATGCCACATTGTTGTAACAGTGTGGTTATTTCTGAGGGCTTGTTATTGGCAACAGCTTGTATCACAAAACATTACATGCAACATTGTTGTAACATTGTTGTTATTTCTGAGGGCTTGTTACAGTTAACTGTTTGTATCACAAAACATTACATGCAACATTGTTGTAACAGTGTGGTTATTTCTGAGGGCTTGTTATTGGCAACAGCTTGTATCACAAAACATTACATGCAACATTGTTGTAACATTGTTGTTATTTCTGAGGGCTTGTTACAGTTAACTGTTTGTATCACAAAACATTACATGCAACATTGTTGTAACAGTGTGGTTATTTCTGAGGGCTTGTTATTGGCAACAGCTTGTATCACAAAACATTACATGCAACATTGTTGTAACATTGTTGTTATTTCTGAGGGCTTGTTACAGTTAACTGTTTGTATCACAAAACATTACATGCAACATTGTTGTAACAGTGTGGTTATTTCTGAGGGCTTGTTATTGGCAACAGCTTGTATCACAAAACATTACATGCAACATTGTTGTAACATTGTTGTTATTTCTGAGGGCTTGTTACAGTTAACTGTTTGTATCACAAAACATTACATGCAACATTGTTGTAACAGTGTGGTTATTTCTGAGGGCTTGTTATTGGCAACAGCTTGTATCACAAAACATTACATGCAACATTGTTGTAACATTGTTGTTATTTCTGAGGGCTTGTTACAGTTAACTGTTTGTATCACAAAACATTACATGCAACATTGTTGTAACAGTGTGGTTATTTCTGAGGGCTTGTTATTGGCAACAGCTTGTATCACAAAACATTACATGCAACATTGTTGTAACATTGTTGTTATTTCTGAGGGCTTGTTACAGTTAACTGTTTGTATCACAAAACATTACATGCAACATTGTTGTAACAGTGTGGTTATTTCTGAGGGCTTGTTACAGTTAACTGTTTGTATCACAAAACATTACATGCAACATTGTTGTAACATTGTTGTTATTTCTGAGGGCTTGTTACAGTTAACTGTTTGTATCACAAAACAGTCAATGCAACATTGTTGTAACAGTGTGGTTATTTCTGAGGGCTTGTTATTGGCAACAGCTTGTATCACAAAACATTACATGCAACATTGTTGTAACATTGTTGTTATTTCTGAGGGCTTGTTACAGTTAACTGTTTGTATCACAAAACATTACATGCAACATTGTTGTAACAGTGTGGTTATTTCTGAGGGCTTGTTATTGGCAACAGCTTGTATCACAAAACATTACATGCAACATTGTTGTAACATTGTTGTTATTTCTGAGGGCTTGTTACAGTTAACTGTTTGTATCACAAAACATTACATGCAACATTGTTGTAACAGTGTGGTTATTTCTGAGGGCTTGTTACAGTTAACTGTTTGTATCACAAAACATTACATGCAACATTGTTGTAACAGTGTGGTTATTTCTGAGGGCTTGTTATTGGTAACAGCTTGTATCACAAAACATTACATGCAACATTGTTGTAACATTGTTGTTATTTCTGAGGGCTTGTTATTGGTAACAGCTTGTATCACAAAACATTACATGCAACATTGTTGTGACATTCTTGTTATTTCCAAGGACTTGTAACTGACTGCTTGTATCACAAAACATATCATGTAACATTGTTGTAACAGTGTTGTTATTTCCAAGGACCTTTTATAGGTAACAGCTTGTATCACAGAACAAAACATGTGACATCACTGTCATTTCCAAGGATTTGTTACAGCTGACTGCTTGCTGTATGTAATGCTGTAAACTTCCTGCTAACTTGGACTTCTCCTATTTGAATATTTTAACTAAAAGGAGTTGAAAGGAGTCTGTTTCTCTATTGTTTTTATATTTTGGAACATAACATACATTTATCCAAAGATAAATAAAATAATAAAGGCCCTATAAAAATGCAATGCTAACTGACCTGCCTCAGGTGTACGCATATATGTAAATATATCAAAGTAAATGCAAAATGTTTTGATTCAAATGTACAAAAAGGTACAATAATTACTTCTTTTGACATTCCTAGTACTTTCTTCTTCAATAAATAAATAAATACAAACTTATGACATTGCACAAAATTCATACTAATAGAGCTCTTTATCTGGGGATATTCTACCAGTAATCTAGTAGATATTTCATCATTGCTTCCTCTTCCACAAAGTGATCTAAGCCCATGACCATGACACAGACACAACACAGACTTCAGTAGACACAACACTCCTCTCACTGACACACAGGTGTTTACTCTCCTATCATCTTTTTTCCCTTTTTCTTTCTTTTTTGTTGAACGCTTCACTCAACGTTATTCCAGCCTATGACAGCAGTCTGTAAATAATAGAGGCAGGACCAGACAATCCAGTGATTGACATGAGCTTAAATCTATACCTGCAGCCTTCTCTCTCAGTGAGGACTTCTAGGTCATAAATTGTTTTGATATGGAGCATTTTCCATTAACCAATATTTGATTCAATTATAACATTTTGTCATCTTTTGTGCATAAAATCATTAACTCAATGTTAGGCCATGTCACACTTAATTATTAGTTTTACAGACAAGTGAAAATCCAAGTAAAAATAATTATCAGCAGTATGCAGTATAACATCTCTCTGTGTTTTTAGTAAACAAATATATATCTTGTCTTCAATCAAAGCTGACAAATTTCTGTTAGCCTCCTACCTTGGCACGTTGACCAAGAAATCATGCTCCAGAAAACAAATTAAAAGAGTGGTATGTCCTCATCAAGACAAAGTTGACCCAATGCCACACAGTAAACAGGATGCTCCATACTGTGTTTGAATCATTGTATCTTAAAGTACTTCATAAATGTAGATTATTATTTTTTTGCTTTCATTCCTTTTTGTGTAACAGATACCTTTACTTATCCCCAGTGATGTTGTTACCTACATGAACAAAAAACTGAGCTCACTGAGAGGAAGGGAGAAGCCAATAACAGTTTCTCTGTAACTTTGAATTGTAACACCATTAAAAATGTTCCGTTTGTATAAGATGGGATGAAGGATCTTGTAAGAAGTTTCTGGCAAATCCCAACAATCCATCAGTTGTGTAGGTGAAGTGTGGGTTGGTGCTACCCACGTTGTCAGCGTCGTCGACAGGAGGGTAAAAGGCTGCATGATGGTGGTCGTGGGGGAGGATCAGACAGATGCGTGGGTAGTGAAACAGGCGAGGCACGTCCGACTCCACTGAAACCATACATCAAAGCTCAGAAATGACAATGACTAATGACAGAAAGTTAAAGGTGGACTCTGCATAAATCAGACTGGGGCTGCCAATTTTACAGATTCAGGAGTAGAGACAGAGAGTGCTATGGACATTACTGATAACTTTTTACATCAAAAAATGTTGATAAACATAATGTGTTTCCAGATTTTAGGATATTATTGAGTATTCAAGAGTCTGGAAATTTCATTTCAACTGCTTTAGCCGCTTTTAACAGTATTCCAGTTATACCATGTCGTGTCAGCCTAATGTGGCAGGAGAGCCGAAAGTGATGCAGGTCTCAGATGTTTACCACTTCGGTGAAACCCATGAGCACAGGTATGGTGCTGACAAACCTAACATAATCAGGGCGAACCGGGATTCGAACCCACAATCATAGGTTTCTGGCTTGCCCAATGGACCCAACCCTGCACAGCGAATCGTGGCGCCTTAGACGACTGGGCCACCCGTGCCCCATCTGGGCATTGTAAAACACAAAAGTTATCAATACTGTTCTGAAGCTCTCTCTCGATCGATCATGTCGATGTGAACTATCACAGTTCAAACAAGACATCACTCTTAAATAATATGACATCGCTCTGTAATGACAAGATATCACTCTGGAATGTTTGTTTGTTTGTTATTTAACGCTGCACTTAGCAATATTCTAGCTCAATGACAGCCATCTGTAAATAATCAAATCTGGACCAGACAACCCAGTGATTGAAATCATGAGCATTAAGCCACACAATTGGGATACAATGACATGCATCAACCAAGTCAGCGAGTCTCACCACCTGATCGTGTTAGTCACCTTTTACGACAAGCATAGTCCCCTTTACGGCAAGTATGGGTTGCTGAAGACCTATTCTAACCCGGATCTTCCCGGGTGCACCCTTGAATGGCATGACATCACTCTGGAATTCTATGGTGTCATGATACAATGGAGTGTGCCATATGCTTTTTAATTTATAGCAGAATGTGAAAAAAAACTTCAGATAAATATTGATCAAACTTGATATGTAATTAAAGTGGTATCCATTCTCCAAGTTGAATGGCACCTATTTTCCATATCTGTGATTGAGGACACAAATATGCTGATCAAGAAAAGCATTCATAAACATTGATAAGTCAAAAGAATGTCCAGGATTCAATCCCATTTAACTTTTCTCGGCCAATCATATTACAGCCTACTCTCCCATTCATTTTACAATCTGCTATATTCTACATGTGATAGATCAAGGACATGAGGTTGTGTTCAGCATAACAGCCTCATCAGGTATCCTCATAGATATATTAATGTCAATGTCAAAGTAACAAATATTATTAATTTAGGTGAGGTAAAGTGAGGTGAAATGGGGTTAAACATCGCATTCAAGATTACTGCACTTATATAGCGACGTGCATGAACATGTGTGTGTCTGGCTGCTTGTACTAGCCCAGACTAATGAAGATTTCATAGTGCTGTCCCACTGAGATACCAAGCTGCATTTTAACATGAATTTCCCACTCACACACAGTATATTGACTCTGAGCCGACCACTCCTTGTTTTAGCCCCTTTATGCCGAATGCCTGGCAGAGTAACAACAAGTAGTATCTAGCAACATCTTTCAGTATGATCAAACCCTGGACCTTCTGCTCTCCGGCAGACACTCTATCCCCTAGACCAAGGAGGTGGTCTATTAATTTAGGGACAAACAATACAAGACTCATACGCCTCTAGCCTTCTAGTTTCAGAATGAATGCAGTCTGGTGCACTGGACACAACACCAACTCTCTTGATAGATGCTGTCACAACATGTAACAAAGCAGCCATCATATAAACATCATAAACCATCTTTAAATCTTCAAAACAAGTTTTTAATAATAACAAGCGACAAGGACAGGGTGGGACATCATGCCCCATATGCAGAAGATCATGGTCTCCAACAACCAAAACACATTAAATATGAAGTAAATACCTAGACATGCAAACCATGCCCTTCATATAAACCATCATTACTTTTTATGACAAATAAAATGTTTTGAAATTAGATCTTTCAGGACTTTGTGTGACTGTGCTGGAAGGCCATTCCTCCACCTCCATAATATACATACCACAGAGAACACAGACATAAACAGGGTACCCTGATGGTAAATGATGAACCACTTCTAAACCATATACAAATTACAAAATCACTTTATGCACAGTCATCTTCCAAAAACAAACATATCTCATAAAACCATAAAACTGCCCTAGTTTTATCCCACTTGCATGAGTCGAATTTAAATAAACCTTTCTTTATAATTACAAACATGGATAGTACGGTCAGCCATGGGGGTGCGTTGGATAGGACAGAGATCCACGGCATCTACCTTGGTGCGATCTCATCTGAATCCACGCTTCCCATTGGTCCTGTTCCTGCCTTCCATGGTGTCCATGCGTCATGATCTTAGCGCTATGACTTTCCCCACTCCCATTTGGAACATAGACTTGACATGGCGGACGACAACCGAAATAGGCTTCACACATTGTACCCATGTGGGGTATTGAAGATGGGTTTTTGGCATGACAAGAAAACACTTTAACCACATCGCTACCCTGCTCCATCTCAACATAGACTTATCATAGTAGCAGCGTCAAGATGACTTCGTTAAATGGGCAAAGATGCTTGCTGATGAATCTAATATAAGCCTTCACCATATTTGAATTTTCAAATTCAAAATGGGATCGACTGCTCAAACAGTTGTATTAACACATCCTCCTATGGCACGATTTCAACTGAACCCACTCATCCCATTCGTCCCGTCTTCAATCATGTCCTCAGTTACATCCAGAAACTGATCCATCCATGATGACAGTAATATCGCTAAGATAGTTTTGTGGAACAGGGCTTAGATCTATTTGAATTTAATTTAAGAAATTCCAAGTCAAAGTACCAAAATAAATGGGGAGTTCTGAATGCAAAAACACTAAATCAATAATTTAAAAAAGTAAAAAGGAAAAGCATGAAATACTCATATACCCGCCAGTATGACAAGTCCGGTCTTAGTCAAAGTCTTTGCCATGGAAGCATAAAAAGTATGTTTTTGAAAAATCCCAAACTATCAAAAGGCACCAGTTCACCACTAGACCTGTCTATGTGCCAAGTTTGGTTAAGATATCTCTCATGTTTTTTTAGTTCTGCTCCGGAAACGAAACATGATGGACTGAAAGTCGGAAGGATGGATGGACAGCACCCATTTCTATAGACTCTATCCCTCTTCCACTTCCTGGCAGGGGGAGTATAAAGAATCAACATTATATATCTCTTGGTATGATCAAAACATAAGTTAATTTAACTAAAGACTGAAAAATATATAAATGCAGCTGAGAACACAATCGCCCACCATATTCGTCTACTTCGGCTCAGTAAAGAATGTGTTTCACTACTGGATCCAATTAACCTGTGTATAGATGCACAGGTCGACTACATGTCACGCAGATCAGCTGCACTGCAGCAGAATGCACTTACAACAACAGTGTGAACAAATAATGCATCACTCAAACGTCTGTGTGTGAAGATAATGGACATATTCATTGCCTTCATTTAATAGTGCAAAATCAGGTTTGATTTTTTTCCTATTTTGTCACAGAGAAAGATTGTGTCTACACAATCCTAATTGAACATGTTTTTATGACTGCTAAGTCAGTTTAACTTAATACTAAACACACCTCCCTCAGTTCTTACTGCCTCCCACTGATAATGATGTCACAGACTCGGGAGTATCCAGGAATGAAGAGAATCTCTCCTGTGTGTCTTTTGAAAAGAAGTCGATAAAAGTTTAAAACTCTGATGTTTGCTGAAAAGTTGCTGAAAATGTTGTTTTCTGAACAATAATTATTATTGATAATATGTAAAAAATGTTCTTATTTAACACTAGGCTCTGCACAGATGCATGTTTATAGTACAGGGTGCTATTTGATAAAGCAATCGTAGCACTACGGCTGTCGTAATTCTGTGTTCAGGTGTGGAACTCCCGGAGTTACAATCGTCCTACTATGATCATTTTGTGGAACGGGCGCCTGCACTTTAAACATGCATCCATACAGAGCCTAGTGTTAAAGAAGAACGTTTTTTACATACTGTCAATTATATAATTTGTAGAAACCAACATTTTCAGCAACAAGACAACAAATAAAATATAATTACACCACAGGATCCTGCCTAAAAGTGCTCTTGTCATAATGCAAATAATTGGTCCGACCACTTCCCCGGGCCTACTGACTGAAGTGGAACACGTATTAGCCGATTGTTCCCAGGCTGGAGGAAATGAGAACTGGCTGTTTGATCTTTGATATTATAGTTAGATACCAGAAACAACATTTCATTTAACAGAAACATCCTTGTGAAGTGAGGCAACTGTTTGAGGTGAACCTGGGTATTCTTATGGCAATATGAATATACTACACTATGTACACTTCAATAGGTAGTGTATGTGTCCTTCTTAGAGTGAGTGAGTTTTGTTCAACACTGCTTTGAACACTGTTCAGTCAACTGCATGTCAGATTACTGTGGAAAGAAAGCCCTATGTTATGCAGGTCTTAGAGTGAGTGAGTGAGTTTTGTTCAAATCTGCTTTAAACATTGTTCAGTAAAGCTCTGTATGTCAGCTTAAAGTGGGAAGTGGTGAGGTGAAAAGTCACGTTCAAGATTATTGCACTTATATGGCGACGTGCATGCACGTGTGTGTGTTTGTGTGGCTGCTTGTACTAGTCTGGACTAATGCAGATTTTATAGTGCTAGCTCACTGAGATGCAATGCAGCTGTTTAACATGAATACCCTACTCAGTATTATGACTGAGCTGACCAGTCCTTGTTTTAGCTCCTTACTGCCAAGAGCTAGGCAAGGTAACAAGAAGTACCATCTTTAAATGTCAGGGCAGATGCTCTACCACAAGACCATGGAGGCAGTCCCTGAAGCATGGATAGGAAGGAATCTCAAACAACTTCTCTTTTCAGCTTGTCGATACAACATAAAATTAAGTTTGATTGTTTATTGTTTAACAGCCTACTCAGCAACATTCCACCTGCATGACAGCGGCCTGTAAATAATTCAGTCTGGACCAGACAGTCCTGTGGTTGATATTATGAGCAACAATCCACGCTGTCAGGGTACGATGACATGCAATTAACAAAGTGACTGATCCATGGACTGACATTTTGAACTTGAATTCAAACTAAAGTGGGGGCACGGGTGGCCCAGTCGTCTAAGGCGCCGTGATTCGCTGTGCAGAGTTGCATCCCTTGGGCACGCCAGAAACCTATGATTGTGGGTTCGAATCCCGGTTCGCCCCAATTATGTTTCTAGGTTTGTCAGCACCATACCTGTGCTCATGGGTTTCACCGGAGTGGTAAACGTCTGAGACCTGCATCACTTCGGGCTTTCCACCCACATTAAGCTGACACGCTGTGATATAACTGGAATAATGTGAAAAGCGGCGTTAAACCAAACTCACTCACTCACTCACTCAAACTTAAGAATGATTGTACAAGCATACTTACTTTGTAGGCTTACATTTATTAACTGCATTGTACTTGTATAATTGTATACAATCGAAATGTTGCATATATCTAAATATTGTATTATAATATATGTTTTCAGTCATCAAGTATGACAGCATACTGTTTCATAAAGTAAATTATCCTAATTGCCTATCAGGAAATAAGCCAAACTAGACACAATATTTCATATAGGTTCACAGGAATCACGGGAGAGTCCTTGTCAGGTATGGACAAAGGGAGATAACTGTGACAGGTTGCTGTTTATCCCACATGAGTGAGTGAAATGTGTTCACACATACTGAGGTATTTTACATCCAAGGAATCAACCCATGTATATGTGATGATGAGCACGCACACAGTCCCTAGTGTGTTCCCGGTTAGAAGTGGGCCCCAGCAACCTGTGCTGGTTGCAAGAGGTGACCAAACTGATCAGCTTGTCAGGCTCAATAAATTGGTTGAATGTGGATGGATGGATCGTTGCTCATTATATCAATTACCAGATTGTCTGGTCCGCGCTCAATTATTTACAGGCTGAAAATTGCTGAGTGTGGCATTAAACAACAAATGAAACAAATGAAACATAACATAGACAATGCTGAAGTGTTGACACTGGAAAGCAGACAATCTCTAGCAGACACCTATTTTTAATTATCATCTAATTATTAATCAGCAGTTTTAATTAAACATTTTTAATTTTTAAACCATATTAACCAAATTAGCAGTAATACACATCATGATCTCCTTCGATTTAGTACCAAATCAAGCTGAACCTAACTAACACATACGCTCGATACGCTAACCTGCCATTATGTAGAACTACAGAGTCTAAAACTTACATCACTTTATTAGAAGAATAAACAAAGTGTATGCTAGAAATATGTAATATTTAAACATTGAATGAAGTGACCTTAAAACAAATATAATAATAATAATAATAATAATAATAATAATAATGGAGATTTCTATTGCACCTCACCCACAAACCATTCACAGATGAAGTAAATGATAACATCACAAAGTTCATCCATCCAGATTGACAATTCATTTTTCGCTGAGGAAAACGAGGAAAAGGATGCTTAATTCAAACAAAACATTCTCAGAAAACAGGAAAAATTGACCAGGATAAATTTGATGTAAAGCTAACAGTAAAAAAACAGGAAACATCTTCCTTTTCACCAACTGCAAACAAAGAGTATGATGGCACCCACCTGATGCCTTCTTGTGGTACCCTGCTGGTACAAACCTTGACACCCAGTCAGGGTACAGATCCACATCCACAGTCATCACAGCTACATCCTGATACAGACTCGTACCCACATCCATCAACATCTGAATAGATTCATTTTCCTCATTAGAATTTGGATTATAATGTTTCATTATCAGCATGCAGAAATTTAGCCGATATGCCTGCAAGAGTTATGTCCCTTGTTTCAGATATCCTCTCATGGTGGAAGTGGAAGCTTTTCTGAGTGAATACCCTTTGATTCTTAGTTCACTGATCATAGATAATGGCTGAAAACAATTGATCCGATATACATGCAAGGACTCTGCTCCATATTTTGCAATCCATTTTTAGTACAGGACTAGATATATTAGTGGCTTGTGAAAAAATTGAAACATTACTTGTGCCCGTTATTAAAGTTTGAGTGACCAAGTCAACCAAAGCTACCACATTTCTAGCAATCCGGGTTGACTAGATTCAACCTTGGTTAACCAATCATTTTTAGACATTGCAGAAAAGAAAACAAACACATGCATCTGATTTTATTGAAAAATGCCAAAGCCACTGGTAAAGGATGTAACATTTTCAGTCTATAAACCAGGATCATAGAGGACGTATGTCATTTAGCACTAAGAGTTCAGCTTATAAGCAGTGTTGCTTTATAGGCAGGGGCATTGCCATTGTGATATAGTGTCGTTTACCTGCATGAAGTGTGCATGCTGCGTGATGTTGTCCTGATGCACGAGACTCAGCAGTATCGGCAGATCCTCCTCAAACAGCGGACTACTCACACAGGAGATGAAGATGTAGATGAGTACATTTAGATCAATTATGTTTCTAGTTTCATCTATAAACTTGCCCTAAAACTGGCACCATTTCAAAGAAGCAAAATATGGTTTATTGAAAAGGAAATTTGAACTTTTAGCCTTATTTAATCCACCCCCATTTTCCAAGACATCATGCTGCGAATCTTGGGTTAACTTTGACATGTTCTAAATAAGAGCCAGAGATGTAATAGGTCGCCAGCATCCTATTGCTTCAGGTGTCAGACTCCGCAACTTGGGAGAGGAAAAGAATTGTTTCAGAAAATATTGGAAAAGTCTAAATTTGCCCCCGATATCCTGAAAAAAATGTGTTGTCAAATATATTTATAAAACTGACTCGTCAAAAACATTGCAGTGAACAAAAAAATAGTCTTTATCTTACAAATTTCCAGATCATCCCAAGAATATCAAATAGTTGTCTCATACTTGTTCTTGGTGTGGAACGACATGGCAGTGAGGTGGGTGACTGGAAGGCGGGCATGATCTCGGGTGAAGGACGTTATCAGGTCAGTACAGGCGCCGTGGTTGTCCTCACACTTCTGACTGCTTCCAAGGTTGTATCTACATAATAAACGAGACAATATTGGACAACATAACTACATACATGTTTTGTATACTTAAATCTTAGTTAAACATATCCATAGACCTAAAACAATTCTCACAAACGATTATTTCACAACTAAAAACTCTTGGCACTTACATGTTGGTATAGCCGGTGTTGCATGCTCGCAGTGATCTGCTGGTAATGAAATTTGCGATGGGGAGTTATCTAAGATATACATAAATTTTGGTAGCCAAGCGTTACCGTGCAGTATAACCGAGTTAGCACTATATCAAAGGGCACGATAGCAAGGGATCACTGTAGTTCCTATTTGTCCCTATTACCTTTGTAATAGACATCTTCATGTTAGTAAAATCCTGAGTAGCATTTGTTTCTATTCTCTGGCGTGTCTTTGACATTTTTGTGGTGGATCAGGGTTTTTCAGGGAGGTCATGCTGTTGTTAGCACACCTTTATGGGGCCATTGTTGAGGCTCTATCTGTGAGTGAATGTCATCATGCAGCAATGCCTCATCCTCAAGGGGACACTCAATTTTACCAATGTAGGGAATCAAACCCAAACCTTTCGCTTGACAGGAAATCAATGACAAGGCTACTCCACCTCTCCATATCTCACAGCAGTAACATGACACTACTGTACACAATAACAGATCAAGGTATATGTATGTATGTCAAGGTTTAGATGCAGTGCACACTGGCTGGAAATAGAAACTGGTAGAAAGCTTAATATCCCTCGTGAAGAAAGATTTTGCAAACTATGTCAAATTACCCTAATAGAAGAGGAGTTTCAGTTCCTGCTAGTGTGCCCTGCATAATATACTCACCTACGCCATCTCTATATTCCTTCAAAATATTATCTCACCCAAATGTCCATAAGTTTAACATTCTTTTATCTACAACCAACACAAAGCTGATTATTAATATCGCTAAATATCTGTATCACAGTAAAGAAGAGAGAACATGTATTTTATCATTGTGACTGTTGCCATAAATATGCCATACATTTTGTACAAAGGGCCTGTGGCCTGTACAGTACTGAATAAAGAATTCAACAGATCCTGCCACCAGTAATGACAACTTTGATTTGTAAGACAAGAAAATTAGTAAAATCTAAATATTTTATTACCGTTGTATACTTATCCTGCATTACTCCTTAGTGCATTCACTGCTTACTTTACGACAACTAGAAGGACATCGCAACTGCGAAGGTCCTGGGTAAAGAATTAAAGTTGTTATTCTGAAATCCCAATTACTGACCTTCTGTCGCTGTCCTGTGACCTTGATGACACCTAAGGTCATCTTCACATCACTCCTTTGGGATTAATTTAGACCTTCAGTTTCCATCTACAATCCTAAAATGGATCTGTGATGGGTGATGGATTCTTTTCATATTACTTGTCGTAAGGTAAGCAGTGAATGCATTAAGGAGTAATGCAGGGTAAGTAAAAAATATCACTATACTGATATAAATTAATAAGGGAACACATATTTTTAGACACAGTGAAAAATGTGATGCTATCATGGGTTCCCAGGCTTGTTCAGCAAATGCACATTGGAAACAATGCACACAAACACACTCAACAGTTGATTCTGACATGTGCTGAATCTGTATTCGCGCTCAAATGTACTGACAGTAAAGCATATTTCCCTATATTTTTCATTGTTCCCTTATTCGTTTCCATCAGTATATGTACTCGTCCCTGTTAAATCCCTTCGGTGAGGCCTACCTGTGAGGTTTGTGGAAGGTGTGAAGGTGTGGGCCCAGCTCCTCGCTGATGGAGTTGCGCAGGTATCGTCCAGTCTGCATGATGTTGGCCTTCATGCCGTCGCTCCTCTCTAAAGCCACCTGGACAAAAGATAATACATGCAGTGTCCTTGTACAGTGGATACAAATATTAAGTAAGTTGGGTGTTCCTCCTTTTCAGCAATATTCCAGCTATATGCAAGAAAGGGCTTCATGTAATGTACTCACATGGGGAATCAACTTCCGCTGGTTGTTGTACATGGTGCAGCACCGTACCCAGATCCTCCTCCACCTCATACTCCTCTGGGGGAACCTGGTTGTTGTACATGGTGTAGCACCTACCTTGATCACCACCACATCCAGATCATCCTTCTCCTCCTCGTACTACCCTGGGGGGACCTGTTTGTTGTACACGGTGTAGCACCTACCGTGATCACCACCACATCCAGATCCTCCTCCTCGTACTCCTCTTGGGGGGCCTGGTTGTTGTACACGGTGTAGCACCTACCTTGATCACAACCACAACCACATCCAGATCCTCCTCCTCCTCCTCCTCCTTGTACTCCCCTGGGGAGACATGTTTGTTGTACACAGTGTAGCACCTACCTTGATCACCAACACATCCAGATCCTCCTCCTCGTACTCCTCTGGGTGGGCCTGGTTGTTGTACACGGTGTAGCACCTACCTTGATCACCACCACATCCAGATCCTCCTCCTCATACTCCCCTGGGGAACCTGGTTTTTGTACACGGTGTAGCACCTACCTTGATCACCACCACACCAAGATCAACCTCCTCCTCCTCCTCCTCCTCCTCCTCCTCCTCGTACTCCCCTGGGGAGACCTGTTTGTTGTACACAGTGTAGCACATACCTTGATCACCACCACATCCAGATCCTCCTCCTCGTACTCCTCTGGGGGGACCTGGTTGTTGTACACGGTGTAGCACCTACCTTGATCACCACCACATCCAGATCCTCCTCCTCATACTCCTCTGGGGGAACCTGGTTGTTGTACACGGTGTAGCACCTACCTTGATCACCACCACATCCAGATCCTCCTCCTCATACTCCTCTGGGGGAACCTGGTTGTTGTACACGGTGTAGCACCTACCTTGATCACCACCACACCAAGATCCTCCTTCTCCTCCTCGTACTACCCTGGGGGGACCTGTTTGTTGTACACGGTGTAGCACCTACCTTGATCACCACCACATCCAGATCCTCCTCCTCGTACTCCTCTGGGGGGACCTGGTTGTTGTACATGGTGTAGCACTTAGCCTGGCCATACAGTCGCTCACACGCCAAGCGATAACACTGGTATGAGTAAAACATGTCAGGACTTGTCTGCATAGACTTGGGCAGGTAGCGGGAATACTTCGGCATGAGAGTAGCAGTCAATCGAACATCTTCATCCTGAAAAGTTTATTGTTTCAGTTGAAAGAACAGTTATTACTCTTGTTGTAAGAAAGAGCATAGGCCACATCAATGTGTTATGTGTTCATCAAATGAAGGGCTTGTTGCAATTTCTTGGCTTTTTTTTGGGTGGTACCGTTTTTCTTCTAATTTCTCGCCCAGGAGAAAATAACGTAGTTGAACATGATCGTACATTCATCATCATCAAATTTGTTTTTGGTCAAATAAGCATTTGAGCAGCAACTACTCAAACCCAAATGCCCCAACATTTCAACTTTCAAAAAGTTGAGGTAGACCAACCGACCCATTGTATCACGTGCAACTGAAACGTTTTTATCACAGCTGGAAACAGCCATCAGGAATATCATAGTTAACCCTTTGTAAAACTCACATGTTTCCATTTATTCATAACCGTGCTGTGCACACAAATTAAAGAAGCACTGCAACTAAACTGAGTCCTAAAAATCTGTGTTGAACACTGTAAAACAATATTTTTTTAAAAGTACCATACCGACCCACATCTTTTGGGTCCATGTTACCTGAAACACAATTATTTGGGGGGGTGCCAGATGAAAAAAAAAAGGTCCATACTTCCATAGTTACTGTCTGGAAATCAGTAAGTGAGATCTCAGATTTCCCATCCTGCCCCATATATTATGAGTGAGTGAGACTGTATGTCCTTCACCTACCACTACTTCCATGCGAGGAAGCTGCCTGAACTTGAGGTTGTCCACGGCTGGGCTAGCCACAGAGGAGAACCACTCCATGATATGTTTTACCTGAAAAATATAAACAATTCAAAAATACTGACCACACCTGAGAGATACACAACTTCAGCTAACCATGGCAGTTAGGCATTTGATCAACTGCAGGTGCTTTGTGAAGCACAGTTCTAACATGATTTGAAATCACTCCCCAGCTGAAGCAAACTGCTGTGTGAAGAAGACTGGAGAATACAAACCAGTCAGTTTGGATTTGAACTTCATTTTAATCAGGTCATGTCATGGGAGGAAAGCACTTTGTCATGGGAGGAAAGCACCTTGGAATGGGAGGAAAGCACCTTTGAATGGGAGGAAAGCACCTTTACGTGTCATGGGAGGAAAGCACCTTCATGTGTCATGGGAGAAAAGCACCTTTACACGTCATGGGAGGAAAGCACCTTAGCATGTCATGGGAGGAAAGCACCTTTACGTGTCATGGGAGGAAAGCACCTTGTCATATCATTGGAGAAAAGCACCTTTATGTGTCATGGGAGGAAAGCACCTTTACGTGTCATGGGAGGAAAGCACCTTGTCATATCATTGGAGAAAAGCACCTTTATGTGTCATGGGAGGAAAGCACCTTTACGTGTCATGGGAGGAAAGCACCTTGTCATATCATTGGAGAAAAGCACCTTTATGTGTCATGGGAGGAAAGCACCTTTACGTGTCATGGGAGGAAAGCACCTTGTCATATCATTGGAGAAAAGCACCTTTATGTGTCATGGGAGGAAAGCACCTTTACGTGTCATGGGAGGAAAGCACCTTGGCATGTCATGGGAGGAAAGCACCTTGCCATGTCATCTGAGGAAAGCACCTTTTCATGTCATGGCATTTACCATCATGTGATGCCCATCAATAAGCATATGATGCTTAGAACCAAGATGATGATTGAAATGAATGTGGGATTCAAACTACAAGCGCATCTCTACTGGAAAGGGAGGCAACTCTGCACAACACTGGGCCACCTGTACCTGGATCCAGCTGGATAACACAGACTTTCATACTGAGGTATTCTGTTGATGCAGACAGAGCTTACACGAGTGTATACCATCAAATGATGCCCCGACCATGACACTCTATGAATGTACCCACCAGTATGACACCATGATAGTCCATCCTGATGGACTCTGCTATCTCTCTCTCAGCTTGTGGCGACACACACAGACCATGGCCCAGCCACCCGAACCCACGGAATGCCATGATGGTGGGGAAGCCTGTCACACCATGGTCCACACACAACTGCCGATCCTGCGTACAGTTCGCAAGGTAGAAGGAGCCACCGTCTAGAAAAGCAGAGATAGATAAGTTTCCTGATCACTTATAAAAGAAATTAAATGACCAACAAGATCTAGGAAAAGGTGAAATAGATGACAAACACAAAGACAACAGCCAAAACTGACATTTAATTTCGTCTTTCAAATAAGTAATGAAAACAATTTAGGCCTCCTCCAAACAATAACTTATCCATCCTTATTCCTTATAACACGTCATGAACACAGGCTATTGAAGGCTCCTTTCCTATCAGTCTCACCTGTATCCAGCCTATAACACATATTTTCATAAAGTACTGGGACTTGGTTTGTTTCTTGTAGTGTGGCTAATTGTTGCGGTTTCTTCAGTAACCAGTGGAGATTGTTTCAACTTGTCTCGACTTCCTGGAGCGCTGTAATATCCTGACAGAAGACTATTGCTTGTGCTGGTGGTGAAACACTTCACAAAGGGCCAGTCATGTTTGCCAGTCAGAGACTAAAGATTGGGGCAATTATCAAACCTCCAATAAATCTGATTGTTTTTCTTTCTAGTTAAAATGCAGGGTCCACCAAATTGAGCTTCATACAAAACAGCAATGGTAACTACGGAACTCTTTACTTGTCCATTAAGCTCAAACACTCTACCCACTGTGCCAACTTAGGTTAGGAACAGACTCTCACCTATAAACTTCACTGCTTCATGCAGTTCTTGGAAGACGTCAATGTTGCGTCGACAGCTTCCACATCCATCAATCAGGAACACAATCTACATGACAGAAAATGTCATTGGGTATAACACCACTGTCATATGAGTGATGGCCTATGTAGTGATATCCAAACATGAAATCTCCCCTGTACTTTAACCCATATACTGTCGGTACATTAAAAACAGTCCTCCACAATCAACCTCCGTTCCACTCTTTATGGAATCCCCAGCTAGCAACACAGCTACGTGTACAAGACTGGCTGGAAATTACAGAGTGAGTGAGTTGAGTTCAACACTGTTTGTGAACATTACTTCAGTTATATCACTGCATGGTAATATAATATGATCCCAACCATAGCTACAGACTCCAAACTAACTGCCCTTGACAGGCAAATAGGGAAACATTGATATTTTGTTCAAATTTGGGATTTTTTCAAAGTTTTTATTTTCTAATTTTCAGAGTTTTTTTAACATTGCGTTGAAACATCGCATTCAGTATAGTACTTTAATGTAAGCCTATTGCTCTCTCTAGTCCTGTTATCAGTGCAATATAAGTCACCTCAACCTAGCCATCACATAACTATATTTAGATAACACAGGAACTTTGTAATTCCCTTCTGGGGACTATTTCTGAGAAATGCTGCTGACTTGGGGCCGATTATCTTTCTCTGAGCAGGTGTAAATAAATTCCTGAGAAATTTACCACTTTGGTTTGTTCGTTTGTTTGTTTGTTGTTTAACGGTGCACTGGACCAGACAATCCAGTGATTGACATCATGAGCATCGTTCCACGCAATTGGGATACGATGACATGCATCAACCAAGTCAGCGAGCCTGACTGACGGATCCCGTTAGTCGCCTCTTATGAAAAGAATAATCGCCTTTTACAGCAAGCATGGGTTGCTGAAGACCTATTCTACCCTGGATCTTCACGGGTCTTACCACTTTGGTGAAACCCAAGAGCATGGGTATGCTGTTGAAAGCCAAGGATCATAATCTGGACGAGAGATGATTGAAACCTAAGGGATATAACTCTGCACAGCAAATTGCAGTGCCTTTGACCTTCCAGCACAACTCAGTTTATTACACTACCTATATAACTCGGGCAGCAGTGGAGTAGGGATATAGCATGGCTTCACTGTAAACCAGATCCCGACACATATAGTTCATGTAACATGACAGCAATTTTGGAAGGCATGTTATTTCCTGCCTAACAAATAAGATGTACAGTTTGATTTGATGATGCAGTAAACAAAATTAATTTCAACAGTAATATATGGTTCACAACTGCCACCAATTTGTATGGTCATGTGACTGTGACATGCATGGAACTACTTTCAATATGGATTCCTCCAAGTGCTGGCATTCATCACCACTCGCACCTTTCCGTAACCTGCAAGAAGACTCGTCCCCCCTATCGATGAAATAAGTTTTGATTTTACATGTGTCTTGCATCTAAAAATATACCCAGGACACAGTTAAATGTGCTCAATCATATTGTATCATTCCGCATGTCCCCATGTGCTTTAAATTGCATCTGAAATATATATAATATATGGGGAAATATATGTGAACCATTACACAACGAGTTGACAATTGTTTTAGGTATGCCCGTTTGCACTAAGACAGAACCCGGTCGCAAAAATGGCCATGAGAAGGGCACGAGTCGCTATTCGGCTTGTCCCGGAATAACAGAGAGAGAGAGAGAATATTGTTTATTAAAGTGTCACATGTTATATACACTTCGTAATACGATATATACAAAACAGTAAAATATAACATCCGGCCAAATATGACCTACGAGACACTATAAAACATATCAATCATAAAACTATTCAGTTGAAACAGAATAAAACATACATACCTCGTGATGCAGGCGCGGAGCACGGCCGTGGGCGGTTTCAGTGAAGAGCGCACCAGTATGCCAGGATACAGGGCAACTGACTTCGAAAGTCCTTAGTTAAACAGTGCGCTCCCCCTTAACTCCCCCCACAGCGTTGCGCCGCCCACACACCACGTCATACATACATACATACATACATACATACATACATACATACATACATACATACATACATACATACATACATACATACATACATACATACATACATACAAGTCATACATACATACTTGGCTTAAAATGAAATTGCCTTCTTTTAACCATGTTGTAAATTGATTTGGCTAAAATACATTGGAGCGATTCTTCGTTCATAATAAAAATAAACTTTTCTAAACTACTCATATAATGAAATGTTTTATCTACAGAAGTTGCTTCTTTAGCTAAGTTGTATCTTAAATCATCATAAAATGGACATTCTATTAAAAAGTGACATTCATCTTCAACATAATTTACATGATCATTAGTAGGATTGGCGTGACAATATTTACAAGTCCTATCCAACAGTGGGGTAGGTGGCTTGGCGTAGCGGCCGGTCTCAACATGTAAAGGTAAAATACCACATCGAAAGGATGCTAAAAGTCTTCGATGATCTCTAAAACGTACATGACATAAATAAGGCTCAGCAGTAGGTGATGATTTGTACATTCTGTATGTGCGTAATTTATTGCCATTTGGATTATTCTTGTCATTCCATAGCGCAGTATACCACATATCACAATCTTCAGCAGTTAAGAAACACTTTACACGGTCAACACACTGTTTAATGCTGTATCCACAATAAGGTAAATTTGACAAATTATAGTGAGCTAAAATGTTTACGATTTTTTATCCCAGGATTGTGATCGGATTTTGGACCAATTATGAATGATAAGAGGGAGATGATGGGCCTGCATATTCTGAATTCTAAAATATAATCTAAAGCATTCAACGTGCTGTGACACTTTCACAGAACACCAGCCCATGTCCCCCCTCATAGCAGTAACTGGGGCATTTTTTCTTACGCCTAGAAACAAACGACAAGCCTTATTTTGAATTATTTCTACTTCCTTATACTTATTCAAACCCCAAATGCCAGCACCATAAAATAGAACAGGTTCTACAAGAGCTTTATAAAGCTTGTTAAATACTTCGTAAGACATGCCACCCGCGTGTTTAAACTTTGAATACAACGCAGAAAGAGCTCTGCTAGCCGATTTACACAGTACCTGGACTGTTTTGTGCATATCTAAATGCTCATTAAAAGTTAAACCAAGATATTTGTAAGAGCTTTCATAATCAATAATAGATTTGCCGCATACAAATACTCGCTCAGATCTAGCCACAGATTTGTTTCTGAAATGCATGATTTTGGTTTTGTCTGAATTAATATCCAAACGCCATTTATGACCCCATATATTTAAAACATTTAACATTTTCTGTAACGAGTCTTCGTCTTCAGCTAACAAGGCTATATCATCAGCATACAACAAAACTGATAACACAGAACTTTCAATAGTTATGCCACAGTTTAACTTATTCATGTCTAACACCAAATCATTAATATAAACGGAAAATAACGTTGGCGATAACTTGCATCCTTGTTTAACGCCCAAGGTAACATTAAAAGATTCAGTGATAAAACCATTGAGCTTAACTGCACACTTTACGTCCATATATAAGGCTTGTACAGCTTGTAGCATTTTACCATGAATACCAACAGACATAAGCTTGTACCAAAGGCAATTGCGATTAACCCTATCAAACGCCTTCTTAATATCAACAAAACAGACATACGTAGATCGTTTAGAGGCTTTACAGTTATTAACAATATTATAAAGTGCATATAAGTGATCAGTGCAGTTTCTCTTAGGTCTAAAACCATTTTGCTCTTCCACAAGAATATTATTTGACTCCAACCACTTCTGTATCCTACAGTTCAGTATACACGTGTAGACTTTACAGGGTATTGATATGAGAGTAATGCCCCTGTAAGACAAAGGATCTGATGGGGTACTTTTGTCCTTAGGAATAGGAGTTATTAGTCCTGCTCCCCACTGAGACGGCGACACTGAATGTTCAAAACAATACTTAATGATATGGTGAAGTAAGTTAATACAATGAGGATTTCGTAGTACTTCTACCGGTATACCGTCTACCCCAGGCGCTTTTCCTGTCTTCATCTGCATAACAGCAAGGTCAACTTCCTGGACTGAGACAGAGCGGTTCAAATCCGACAGATCATAATCTGCACACTCCACGGTACCGCTACGCACACGTTCCCACACAGTATCATAATGAGCACGTTCAAACGCTGTATTCTCACTACCGTTATAAAGCGTGCTGTAGGAGGTTTTCCAGTGATCCAATACAGTGTCAGTCTCACAGGTCACGGACCCGTCGTGCATCAACACCTCCATAGGGATAACGGAACTTGACTTTCTGTCGTTGGCTATACCAAGTCGACCTATCTTTTTCCAGAAGTCTCTGCCGCTGTTAATGTTCTGTAAACTGATTAGTTCTTCTTGTTTCTGTAGCTGGTATGATCTTCTCGCCTTGCGGTTTGCTTTGTCAAACAGTTTTCTTGCAGATTGAAAAACGCCTTTAAGAACACGTTTACGATGAACACAACCTTTAAAAGACAACCAGCGTTTTTCCTTTACACCAACCCCATCCCATAATAATTGTAATTCATCAGTCCAATATGGCTTTCGCCTACAATAATACCTGTTGTTGGTGTTTTTCTCAGTAAATGTCTTTATCTTATTTAGCTTTAAGTCCATTTCTTTTTTAATGAAAGTAGTAAACTTCTCATATGCAGAGTGAGCGTCTTGACCTTGTGTTAGGGCATCGTCTATCTTCTGAAGTGTATCTTGTAATTTGCGTGCAGTATGTTCATCATTCAGGAAACTGTCCGGTATATTAGCTACATTGTACCTTGGTATATCCCAGCAACCCGATAACAGCTTCATATCGTCAGACTTAGAATCTGGTTGAATTGCAAGTAAGTCTAGCGTTACATCCAGTACAGAATGATCAGGAATACAGTCACATCCCATCTGAGTAGTAAAATTCTGTACGTCTGACATAAGATGCACGTTAAAATCTGACACATCATTCAGCTGCTCATGAGGCACAATAATGTAATCTACTACGGCCCGACCCCTATGCGACACAGAAGTGAAGTTGTCGTTTCCAAGTCTACCGTTAACAACACACATATTACAGTCTATAAGAAAGTCTAGTAGTAGGTACCCAGCTGCATTAACGCTCTCGTCTATCACATTCCTTTCCCCTACACTGTCAACACCTTCGATATAGTCGGAGTTACTACCAATGCGTGCATTAAAGTCGCCAGCGATGACAACTTTTCCAAGATTTTGATATTCATAAACATGTTGAAGTAAAATATCAAAAAATTCTTCTGCATCATGTGACCTAGTAGAAGCGGCTGGAGGTAGATACGCTACACACAAACATAGATTCTCGACTGTAGTATTAGAAGACAAACGGAGCCATAACACATCCTCCTGGTCACTGTCCAGTGCTTCAACTTTATATCTAGATAAAAATGATGTCTTTATAAGAACCCCAACACCGCCAGATCCACGTTTAGCCTTTGTATGCAGGTTTGTTCTGTTATTACCGAACCATACATACCCATCCAGACTAATGTCCTCTTGATCCCGTAGAAATGTTTCACAGAGACATAGTATATCATAGTCAAAGTACCCAACTGCATTTTCCCTAAAGTGTCTGTTATTTACATTCATTAGAGACCATCCACCGACATTCCACAGACCAAGCCTGGTCCCCTAGGCCCGGGGAGTCGTGGTATTTTTCTTCCTAGAAATAAATCCACTTCTGTTCACAGTAAATAGATTATCCTTCCCAATTTCCTTTAGTAATGTTCTCATATTGTTGCTATGCATTCTCTCCTCCAACGTTGTACAATTTTCAACGAAAGTGTTACTATACTTACGGGAGCTCTTCAGAGATGATTTAGCCTTCCTAAGTTTTGTTTTCTGGTCCAAAGTGTCAATAGTTGCTAACACTACACCAGGGTATTTACCATAGGATTTCTTCCTCTCAACATTAGAGACATTCACGTCTGGTAGGTGTAACCCGTCCCTGATAAGAGCCGTTACCTTGTTAACTGTAACTTGTGGGTCCGTTGCTTCGTCTGTGTGAACCTGCAGATTCTTGATAACAACAGATCTCTCGATGATCCTGTCTTGAGGTTTGGATTTTGCAGCTTCTGAGAAAGTCTTTTCAAATTGTTGTATTTTCTTTTCGAAGTTATCCAATCTTGAGTCTATATCATTTCTCGCCCTGTTTATTTCCAACTTTATCTTCTCGTCAATTATTGCTGCTATTTTCTCAGTGAGCCTTGTTTCTAGATTATTCTCAAAGCTTGACATTCTGTCGTTGAGATCAGTTCTCATTTGTGACATTTCTTTAACCAGAAAGGTAAGCATGCCTTTAACTTCAGTGTCATTGGCTGGATTTGAAACTTCCCTGAGCCCGCCATGTTGGCTTGTGCCGACTGTGTCCTGCTCGCTCGCATTTCCTGAACTTTTCATTTTCTTCGATTCGTCTTGCCTAGAACAACTTTCGTTGCTTTCATCGTCTCTTGCTCTTTTTCGTTCTAATCTGTCTTCACTTGTGGACTGGCTTATGAGTGTAGCAGCCATGACCGTCTCAACAAATTCACTGTCACTGTCTCTCAACACGTCACACATAGTCGAGGTTGCAAGTATAAAATATCTCGTGTAAAAGTTTCTTCTTGATGTAAAATCGAAGACGGAGCACAAGAATAAGATCTGGGCTGATTTAAAACATGTAAAAGGCGATTAAGACTTACGAAATGACAGGTTTTTCACTTTTCAGTCGGAGCATTCAAATCCGTGACCTGCCTGTCTCGCGCATGCGCATTTTAGTGTTAGTCACAAATGCAAGTGCTGGCTGAGATCACATAGGTTTGACCTGAACCAACTGTTTGACCACTGGGCAGTATGTTGCCCTTACAGAGATCACAACAAACAACATGACAACACTAGTGGTTAATAAGTTACGTTGTGTAACCACTTCACACATGACACCACCAAATGTAAACTGACACATGGCCGGCCATCATATATTTTACAGATATTGGCTCACCATGGCTGCCTTGGTATACTCTCCTGCCCATCTACCTTCGGGCAGGAATGGGTGTCGTGGAGCATGGGACTTCTCCACAACCTGACTCCATGTCACGTGAGACACCACTGGCATCCCATGATCCTTTGGAAGGGTGGCATCGATTTCATCAAAAATATGCTGTATAGAGAATTTAGAATGTGTCTTATTTATGTAATAATTAAGAAAATATCTGTAGGCTTACTTATTTCACATAAGCAATCCAAATTCACCATAACCATAAATACACAAAATCATATTTCGAAAACATTAAAAGTATAAAGTTCTGCTAAGTTTTATTACATATTGTGTAAATGACATGCAACATACCCTGTTGGGCCAGTCTCTTTTCTTTTTCAGTTCCTTTATCTTCTTCTTCATCCCCGGCCTCCTCCTGGGTGTATTGTCGGTCTGGTTATGGTAGCCTGGGGAACACATGTGTCCATACGGCCCCCCAAACACACCAGAAACCTGCCCAACATATCAAAGTACATGTGTCCATACGGACCCTCAAACACACCAGAAACCTGCCCAACATATCCAAGTACATATGTCCATACGGACCCTCAAACACACCAGAAACCTGCCCAACACATCCAAGTACGTGTCCATATGGCCCCTCAAACACACCAGAAACCTGCCCAACACATCCAAGTATGTGTCCATATGGCCCCTCAAACACACCAGAAACCTGCCCAACACATCCAAGTACGTGTCCATATGGCCCCTCAAACACACCAGAAACCTGCCCAACACATCCAAGTATGTGTCCATATGGCCCCTCAAACACACCAGAAACCTGCCCAACACATCCAAGTATGTGTCCATATGGCCCCTCAAACACACCAGAAACCTGCCCAACACATCCAAGTATGTGTCCATATGGCCCCTCAAACACACCAGACACCTGCCCAACACATCCAAGTACATGTGTCCATACGGACCCTCAAACACACCAGAAACCTGCCCAACACATCCAAGTATGTGTCCATATGGCCCCTCAAACACACCAGAAACCTGCCCAACACATCCAAGTATGTGTCCATATGGCCCCTCAAACACACCAGACACCTGCCCAACACATCCAAGTACATGTGTCCATACGGACCCTCAAACACACCAGAAACCTGCCCAACACATCCAAGTATGTGTCCATATGGCCCCTCAAACACACCAGAAACCTGCCCAACATATCCAAGTACATGTGTCCATACGGACCCTCAAACACACCAGAAACCTGCCCAACACATCCAAGTATGTGTCCATATGGCCCCTCAAACACACCAGAAACCTGCCCAACACATCCAAGTACATGTGTCCATACGGACCCTCAAACACACCAGAAACCTGCCCAACACATCCAAGTACGTGTCCATATGGCCCCTCAAACACACCAGAAACCTGCCCAACACATCCAAGTACATGTGATGAGGTTCTGTCTAGTTATGCACAGTCTACTGAACAAAAGTGGACTTTAATTGAAGCACGGAGCTCTTCATAGTTGTTTTAATTTCAGCCTGTCACAGCATATTCCTTCTTACATATTGCATCAAGCTCCTTCCTGCTTGTGACACCTTCATCACCCTCATCACCCTCCAGGTAACATCACTGCCAACAGCATGCAAGCCGCAATTATAAGAATATTGAAAATGTTCCCTCTAACCCCAAATGTAGGGACATTTATCTTTTTGTATGTCTTTGAGCATGCCATCAATGTAAATAAGGAAATACTTACGACTGAATGACTATTTCCCAGATGAATTTAAGTTTGTTTGTTTGTTTAATCAGATCAGATCGAGATAACAGAATAACAGAAAAGAACCCGACTTCCCCCTTACATTCTGACTCAGCTGAATACATGATAGTTAAAATGAAATAGAAATTCAAACTGACAAACAAGGAAAGTAATTTAGTCAGGGTAAGAGTATTCAGCGTCGCATAAATCATTACTTGTTTGTAAACATGACAGTCAGACAGATGCGAGTTCAACTCCATGCCTGGAGTGAGTGGGAACTGGTGGCAGCGATGGTACAGAGAGCTCCATGAGTAGCTTGTTATGGTATGGCAATGGTGACAGTTCACAGGCTAATTCAGGCAAACAATTTTACATATAAAGTAAACATTTATGATAAAGAATGGACCAGAATATGAGCAGTGCTGCTGGGAAGCATTTGACAGACACATTATGGCAACTACAGGACACTGCTGGACATAGTTTCGTGGTTTGAGGTGAGGTGGGAAATAGCATGTGGTAGAAGACTTGTTCCTGTTCACTAGCAACCAGCAGTGCTGAGCCTACCTGTAGGGGGTCCTCCACACCATATGGCTGGTACAGCACTGGCTCCCCACTGTAGGTGGAGATGTTGATGCCAAGCTGCAGTAGCTCTGTGTACACAGTGAGGGGACTTGGTCTCTTCTCAGTCAGCAGAGTCTGTTGTAGTTCACCTGTCTCTCTACCTACAAGAGTGAATACAGACATTCACCTGTCTCTCTACCTACAAGCAGTGAATACAGACATTCACCTGTCTCTCTACCTACAAGCAGTGAATACAGACATTCACTGTCTCTCTACCTACAAGAGTGAATACCGGTTACAGACATTCACCTGTCTCTCTAAATAACCTCAATTTTGCAAAGATGAAAAGAATGAACTAAACCACAGTGTTTGACTTGAAAATGAAAGTGTTCTTGTTAAAACTTTGTATAAGGATATATTTTAGGAAAATATCCTTAAATGTATACTCAATTTCTTATCATCATTTTGTCTCCTGTATCTTGGTATATATTGACTAAAGAAACTGAGGAAACAAGATCCAAAATTGGTCTGGCTTTGTAACTGAATGTTAAGGAAACAAAGTTTGTTCAACCCCAATGTGTTTTGTAATAAGGCACACTTATGCCCAGAAGAACTACAGTTAAATACCAGGCCAGTTAATTGGATTCATCTGTATCCATCCATTTTGGCATAAAACATTTGTTGAAACATTGATTAGTTTTTGTATACCTTTCGTAAACAGGATCAGAAAAGGAAACGATCTTGCCTTCATGGGGTCAATGTATCTGTTGACCACTGAAATACAAGCAGGACAAATATTTATAACACATTATATCAGTCATTAACAAACATATTGATTTCATATTTGCATGATGTGGATACGGGTCGCCCAGTCATCTAAGACACCACGATTTGCTCTGCAGAGTTGCGTCCCTTGGGCACACAAGAAACATATGATTGTCAGTTTGAATCCCGGTTCGCTCCGATTATGTTTCTAGGTTTGTCAGCACCATACCCGTGCTCGTGGGTTTCACCAAAGTGGTAAACGAGACCTTCCACATTGAGCTGACACGCCGCGATATAACTGGAACACTGTTAAAAGCGGCGTTAAACCCATTGTTTTACCGGAGCCTTGGCAAATACTAGTTAGATACACGTATAATATGAAATGATCATGCATACACTGAAGTTTCATCTTTACCCAAGTGTATGAAAGTCAGAAAGAATGTATAGTCACAAAGAAATGCAAACATAAGCGACTTTTATTGTTATTGTAATTAAGCACAATATCATGTGACTAACCACTTGTTCGTGTAGTCATGTGGGTACCCGGGTCCTACACCCATCCCAGCCCAAGTATCAAGTATTATTTTCATTGGCTCCTATCAGAAATGAAAGAAACTTCAAAGTAGATCAAAATTGGAAGAGGAGTAACCCTTACAAAAAATTCAAAAGAGCATTTTTTACTCTTTTCTTATTTAACCTGCAACTGTTTTGGAATCATTACTTTTATGTTTATTTCAGATGTTCAAACATTTAAATGTGTAAATCCAAGTAGGTAAATAATGTGCCCTTGTAGGATCATATACCATCCCCACAATCCAGTGATAAACACAAAAACACACTGTACGAGGATCCAATTTTAAAAGATGTCAGTTTGTCTGCCGTGGACTCACACAGGTTTTGTTCCGACAGGTCGACTAAGCCGAATCGCAGGGATACTCTCAGGTCGTCAAACTCCTGCACAGTGACAGACATGAATCGGAGGAACGTCATGACACTCGGTGCCCAGAAGGCGTAGAAGCCAATAAGGAAGGGGACATAACCCTCAGCAGATGTGTCCCGGACTAGCAGATTGAAGGACTCCTGTGGATTAAAACAAGAATCAATCTCATTAAAATCAGACATTAGTTTTCGCTACCGCTAAACAAAGATCTGAAGACATCCCATTAGGGGTCACATCAGAACAACCTTTCATCCGACCAATCAGAGCGTCGCTTACCAGATTATGAAAGTGACAGTTGGAATGTGATTTCTAATCATGCAACCCCGAAAACTTTAACATTGGGTATTCTGAACGATAGTTATGGGTTTAACAACTGAATCCTTACAACCCAGACCATCTATTAGTCATTCCAGAATGTTTTTTTGTTCAGGTTTCAAATGTGTAATCGAGAATTTGTCAAAAAAGTTTCGAAGCGTAGTCGCCAATTTGAAATTAGTGCCGTAAAGCACGAGAAAGATGCCTTCTGATTGGTCATTCCATTGGTCGGTCAAAGTTCATGCAAGGTCGGTCTGATGTGACCCGTAATGGGATGTCCTCAGATCTTAGTTTAGCGGTAGCGAGAACTAAGGTCTGATTTTAATGAGATTGGACAAGAATCGATACAAAAAGAAAGCATATACCAAGGGATATGGTCCCTGATACAAGCAGCTGAATCATGTAAACATAGCAAAGTTTGTTTAACTAAGTTTAATTTTCAGTTATATCATGACATGTCAGTTTAATGTTTGACGAAAGATCAACTTATGAGGTGGAGGTGAAAACAACTAGGATGCAGACAATGATTATAATTGATCAAATAAGATTCGCCAGTGAATTCTGTCAGCTTAACAGCATGATAACAGTGTACGTGCAGTGCCAGCAGAGTGAGTGAGCAAGTTGAGTTTACAGCATGTTAAACAGTATTCCAGTTATATCACACAAACCCAGAAACATCATCAGGGCGAACCAGGGTTTGAACCCATGATCATAGTTTTCTGGCATGTCCAAGGGACGCAACTCTGCAGTAACCTACCATTGTGAAGTGAGTGGTGGGCACTCTCCGGGCCTGGATGTAGGTCTCCATTTTGTCTCTACGCAGGGAGATCTCAGGGAAGACTTTTACCACGGGGTCAGATCCATCATCTGAAGGCACAGCAAACATTAAGGCTTTTGCGTTTTTAGCAGTGGCAGTATCTCTCACACATGCCTGCCCTCATATGAACAAGCGTCATCACAAGATGACAAATCCCCCTAGACCCTACAATAGCAAAGGGCAACATTTCAGCCTCTGGGCAATACATATAACAAGTTTGGATGAAAAATCTTTAAAGGTTTTCAAAAAAAAGAAATAAGGACACACAGACAGATGGATGGGCAGACAGACGGACACAGACCAGATGATGACTATATTCCTCACATATATGCCATAGTTTCAAGTCTAAATATTTGGAAAGTCGAAACAAACAAAACTTGCTGCAACAGACACATGTGACAATATTTGAGGCACATTAATAGTGAGTGAGTGAGTGAGTGGGTGGGTGAGTGGGTGAGTGAGTGAGTGAGTGAGTGAGTGAGTGAGTGAGTGGGTGGGTGGGTGGGTGGGTGGGTGGGTGAGTGAGTGGAAGGTGGGTGAGTGAGTGAGTGAGTGTGCAAGTGAGTGCGCGAGTGAGTGAGTGGGAAGGTGGGTGAGTGAGTGAGTGAGTGAGTGAGCGTGCGAGCGAGCGAGTGAGTTGGGTTTAACGCCGCTTTGAACAGTATTCCAGATATATCACGGATGTCAGCTTGATGTGAGGGGAAAACCTGAAGTGAGGCAGACGTTCATCACTTTGGTGAAACACACGAGCGTGGGTATGGTGCTGATGGACCAAGAAACATAATCAGGGTGATGCAACTCTGCACAGCCAATGGCAGTGTCTTAGGTGACTGGCACCCACGTCCCCCTTTGTTGACCAACAAAATGAACACATTTGAAAGGCCAACACAACAATCATGTGAATATGTCTCACATAAGTGTTATTACATTGCACACATCATATAAATATATAAAAACATTTACAGATCTTTGAAATTCCACTCTGCTATCGATGGAAGAAGAAACAGTGCTAAAATTCATATGTTTGATTTAAAATCAACTTCAAAGGAAAGTGAATATCAGAGTGAGTGAGTATGGTTTTACGTAGCTTTTAGCAATATTCCAGCAATATCACGACGGGGGACACCAGAAATGGGCTTCACACATTGTACCCATGTCGGGAATCGAACCCGGGTCTTCGGCGTGACGAGCGAACGCTTTAACCACTAGGCTACCCGACCGCCCAGTGAATATCAGAAATAATTTCATGATGAGAGCCTGGAGTTCCAGCATTCAGGAAAGATGGCGGGCAACACACTGACCTTGATTGTGCACCACAACAGCTGCTGGCAGAGTCGTCACCCCAAACATCTCCTGGATGTATCTGATGGTGAAGGAAACAGATCACACATCACACAGAATGAAAATATCTAAACATTGAGAAACATATAACACAGTTTGAATAGTTTTAATGTTATTAAATTGTAACTTTGAGAACTATTAATATCATTGCAGAGTATACAAAGATTGTTTTCATGCTTAGTTTCCCTAAGATCCACTGACACTGCCCTGTGTGAACATGTGGCCAATCATATCCATATCGAGCACCGGCCAATGATCAATAGTTGCTACATTTCACAGGTGTGTGAAAAAAATAATTCTTGCCAAATGTATTTTTAGAGAATTTCACTAAAAACACACAAGATTTGTTTGTTGCTTAACACTACAGTCCGCAATATTCCAGCTATATGACGGCAGTCTGTAAATAATCAAGTCTGGGCCAGACAATCCAGTGATTGACATCATGAGCATCAATCCAGGCAATTGGGATATGATTGCATGCTTCAGCCAAGTCAGTGAGCCTGACCACCCGATTCCATTAGTCGCCTCTTACGACAAGCATAGTCGCCTTTTTAAGGTAAGTATGGGCAGTCAAAAGACCATCAAAGTGATGTGATATTGCTACATTTATGCATCATATTGATAACAAAAAACTCATGAAATACAGTGGACTGTCTAAAGGGGCATTATATCCAGCACGTGACGGTGGGGTAGCCCGGTGGTTAAATCGCTTGCTAGTCAAGCCAAAGACCTGGGTTCGATTCCCCACATGGTTACAATGTGTGAAGCCCATTTCTGGTGTCTCCCCACCGTGATATTGCTTGAATATTGCTTGAATATTGCTAAAATGGTGAAAAACCATACTAACTCACTCACTAATTCGGCTCTCTATACTATATTATATACCTGGCAGATAGTAGTGTTAATGTCAGTAAATAATCTCCATGTAATCCAGCGTTTGTCTGTTCTGGATGCCAGGACTGTTTGTCTGTCACCAATTTACAGAGAAAATGACTCTCTGTGATCTGGCACTGAACAATCACCCACCGTAAGCTGTAATCAAATACTCAACCAACCAGGGGTAAGCGTGTCTACGCAGTACATATCTAAATCATGGATTAACACTGACTGAGAAAACCAATCAGCTGATGACTGGCAAGGTGCTATATCTACACTATTTTAATACTGGGCCACAAACGTGTGACGATGGCATCCCAAATCAATGTGTACAGAAAGGCTCATTAAGCTGTTCTGGCCAAGCTTAGAGATGGATTTATCAAACTTTGAAATTTGCACAAGTTACTATGATCAGAGAAAAGGGGTCATTTTGTACACCACACGGAACTGATTTGCACAAGTAACATCATGTCCACATGTAGTTTTATTCACTGATAATTTAATTTATGGGCATATATTTGCTTTTGCATTTAGAAACAACCTTCTCATTATAATTTATATATAAAGTAACTTGTGACATATTCCACAAGAGAAATGCAGAGTTGACATGTTTCGTTGACACTGTAACTTACGCAATTTTACAATATACCAGTTTTACCAGCTGATAAACCAGAAGGGTAAGAAATGTTCTTTCTTTCTGTTTAAAGTTATTTTGTATAGAAGCTGTTATCTAAAAATAAAGGCATTGCAAGAGTGAAAAGGTGGATATACCGTATTCGATGTAATAAGCGCCCAGGGCGCTCTCAAAATTAGAAATAGGGGGCTCTTATTAGAATATTAATTTGGTGAGAGAAAAAACAGAGTTGAAAAATTGTAAATTTTGTGGTTTATGCTGACAGCCTGAAATGATATAAAAGAAGAATATGTTTGTATTATACACGTTAGATATATTTTCGAGAATTTAATTGCCCATAATTAAGGGTACATACAACACACGAGTGCGTATTATACACGGATAAATAAGTCTTGTGTACATTGATTATTTGGAAAGGGTGCTAATTGGGATTGTTCACTAGCCAATAAATTAGCAAATATCGCCATGGGTGCTTATTAGAGCGGGGTGCGTATTATGACGAATACGGTATTTTTTTGATGTAATTGTGTAATTTACATGGACACAATGGCCTAGTATTGAAATACTCCACGTATACACATGCTTGTAGAATCTTAATTTTAATCATGTTAATAAATTGAGCTTACATGGCATTTGATAGGCTAACCAAGCAATTAGGCCACACCCATTACTGGACTACTGTTTCCTGATTGGCTGATAATAGAATGGGTGGGCTAATGTCACATCACTGTCACTGATCTTGTTTTGTTGTCCGGGTGTTTGGTTGTTAATGATCAGATAACCAGTCTGTGAAGTTATTATTGTTGACATATTTATATAGTATTTATAACAATTGACAAATAGTATGCTCTCCATAAACTCCAAAAGCACAAAAAATATTGCAGTCAATTCTTAAAAAGATCTGAAGTGATATGTGTTGAGCAGGAGATGGAATGAGTGAGTGAGTGAATTTGGTTTTATGCCGCTTTTAGCAATATTCCAGCAATATCACGGCGGGGGACACCAGAAATGGGCTTCACACATTGTACCCATGTCGGGATTTGAACCCGGGTTCTCGGCGTGATGAGCGAACACCTTAACCACTAGGCTACCGGACCGCCCCAGGAGATGGAATAAAAGGCAAAGTAGCTCATCACCTCCTTCTCTCTGAGTGGGGATGAACTATCAGAGACTTGATGTGGTCTGCACTGTCATAGCTTATCTGAAAGCATAAGAGATTTACTGACGCACAATTTTCTTCATCTATTAAACATTTGGCACAGAAATACCATTCTTAAATTCAAGAAATTTACCAACACACAGTTACGCAAACAACAAAATAATAATATCAGGTATCCTTTCTCTTCAAAACCCATGCTTTGTTTTGGTTATTACATTACTCTTGTCGAGTCAAGTATCCATTTTCCTACCTGGTGTACCTGGTGTACTGTGTCCTCCACCTGTTCTACCAGGTGTACTGTGTCCTCCACCTACCTGGTGTACTGTGTCCTCTACCTACCTGGTGTACTGGGTCCTCCACCTACCTGGTGTACTGTGTCCTCTACCTGTCCTACCTGGTGTACTGTGTCCTCCACCTGTTCTACCTGGTGTACCAGGTGTACTGTGTCCTCAACCTACCTGGTGTACTGTGTCCTCCACCTACCTGGTGTACTGTGTCCTCCACCTACCTGGTGTACTGGGTCCCCCACCTGTCCTACCTGGTGTACTGTGTCCGCCACCTACCTGGTGTACTGTGTCCCCCACCTGTCCTACCTGGTGTACTGTGTCCTCTACCTGTCCTACCTGGTGTACTGTGTCACCCACCTGTCCTACCTGGTGTACTGTGTCCTCCACCTACCTGGTGTACTGGGTCCCCCACCTGTCCTACCTGGTGAACTGTGTCCCCTACCTGTCCTACCTGGTGTACTGTGTCCTCTACCTGTCCTACCTGGTGTACTGTGTCCCCTACCTGTCCTACCTGGTGTACTGTGTCCTCCACCTACCTGGTGTACTGTGTCCTCCACCTACCTGGTGTACTGGGTCCCCCACCTGTCCTACCTGGTGTACTGTGTCCCCTACCTGTCCTACCTGGTGTACTGTGTCCTCTACCTGTCCTACCTGGTGTACTGTGTCACCCACCTGTCCTACCTGGTGTACTGTGTCCTCCACCTACCTGGTGTACTGTGTCCCCCACCTGTCCTACCTGGTGTACTGTGTCCCCCACCTGTCCTACCTGGTGTACTGTGTCCCCCACCTGTCCTACCTGGTGTACTGTGTCCCCCACCTGTCCTACCTGGTGTACTTTGTCCCCCACCTGTCCTACCTGGTGTACTGTGTCCTCTACCTGTCCTACCTGGTGTAGTGTGTCCCCCCACCTGTCCTACCTGGTGTGCTGTGTCCTCTACCTGTCCTACCTGGTGTACTGTGTCCCCCCACCTGTCCTACCTGGTGTATTGTGTCCTCTACCTGTCCTACCTGGTGTACTGTGTCACCCACCTGTCCTACCTGGTGTGCTGTGTCCTCTACCTGTCCTACCTGGTGTACTGTGTCCTCTATCTGTCCTACCTGGTGTACTGTGTCCCCCCACCTGTCCTACCTGGTGTACTGTGTCCCCCCACCTGTCCTACCTGGTGTACTGTGTCCTCCACCTACCTGGTGTACTGGGTCCCCCACCTGTCCTACCTGGTGTACTGTGTCCTCTACCTGTCCTACCTGGTGTACTGTGTCCTCCACCTACCTGGTGTACTGTGTCCCCCACCTGTTCTACCTGGTGTACTGTGTCCCCCCACCTGTCCTACCTGGTGTACTGTGTCCTCTACCTGTCCTACCTGGTGTACTGTGTCACCCACCTGTCCTACCTGGTGTGCTGTGTCCTCTACCTGTCCTACCTGGTGTACTGTGTCCCCCCACCTGTCCTACCTGGTGTACTGTGTCCCCCCACCTGTCCTACCTGGTGTACTGTGTCCTCCACCTACCTGGTGTACTGTGTCCCCCCACCTGTCCTACCTGGTGTACTGTGTCCTCCACCTACCTGGTGTACTGGGTCCCCCACCTGTCCTACCTGGTGTACTGTGTCCTCTACCTGTCCTACCTGGTGTACTGTGTCCTCCACCTACCTGGTGTACTGTGTCCTCCACCTGTCCTACCTGGTGTACTGTGTCCTCTACCTGTCCTACCTGGTGTACTGTGTCCTCCACCTACCTGGTGTACTGTGTCCCCCACCTGTCCTACCTGGTGTACTGTGTCCTCCACCTGTCCTACCTGGTGTACTGTGTCCTCTACCTGTCCTACCTGGTGTACTGTGTCCTCCACCTACCTGGTGTACTGTGTCCCCCACCTGTCCTACCTGGTGTACTGTGTCCTCCACCTGTCCTACCTGGTGTACTGTGTCACCCACCTGTCCTACCTGGTGTACTGTGTCCTCCACCTACCTGGTGTACTGTGTCCCCCACCTGTTCTACCTGGTGTACTGTGTCCTCCACCTGTCCTACCTGGTGTACTGTGTCCTCCACCTGTCCTACCTGGTGTACTGTGTCACCCACCTGTCCTACCTGGTGTACTGTGTCCTCCACCTACCTGGTGTACTGTGTCCCCCACCTGTTCTACCTGGTGTACTGTGTCCTCCACCTGTCCTACCTGGTGTACTGTGTCCTCCACCTGTCCTACCTGGTGTACTGTGTCCTCCACCTGTCCTACCTGGTGTACTGTGTCACCCACCTGTCCTACCTGGTGTACTGTGTCCTCCACCTACCTGGTGTACTGTGTCCTCCACCTGTTCTACCTGGTGTACTGTGTCCTCCACCTGTCCTACCTGGTGTACTGTGTCCTCTACCTGTCCTACCTGGTGTACTGTGTCACCCACCTGTCCTACCTGGTGTACTGTGTCCTCCACCTACCTGGTGTACTGTGTCCCCCACCTGTCCTACCTGGTGTACTGTGTCCTCCACCTGTCCTACCTGGTGTACTGTGTCCTCCACCTGTCCTACCTGGTGTACTGTGTCCTCCACCTACCTGGTGTACTGTGTCCCCCACCTGTCCTACCTGGTGTACTGTGTCCTCCACCTGTCCTACCTGGTGTACTGTGTCCTCCACCTGTCCTACCTGGTGTACTGTGTCACCCACCTACCTGGTGTACTGTGTCCCCCACCTGTCCTACCTGGTGTACTGTGTCACCCACCTGTCCTACCTGGTGTACTGTGTCCTCCACCTACCTGGTGTACTGTGTCCCCCACCTGTCCTACCTGGTGTACTGTGTCCTCCACCTGTCCTACCTGGTGTACTGTGTCCTCCACCTGTCCTACCTGGTGTACTGTGTCCTCCACCTACCTGGTGTACTGTGTCCTCTACCTGTCCTACCTGGTGTACTGTGTCCTCCACCTGTCCTACCTGGTGTACTGTGTCCTCCACCTGTCCTACCTGGTGTACTGTGTCCTCCACCTACCTGGTGTACTGTGTCCCCCACCTGTCCTACCTGGTGTACTGTGTCCTCCACCTGTCCTACCTGGTGTACTGTGTCCTCCACCTGTTCTACCTGGTGTACTGTGTCACCCACCTGTCCTACCTGGTGTACTGTGTCCTCCACCTACCTGGTGTACTGTGTCCCCCACCTGTCCTACCTGGTGTACTGTGTCCCCCACCTGTCCTACCTGGTGTACTGTGTCCTCCACCTGTCCTACCTGGTGTACTGTGTCCTCCTACTGTCCTACCTGGTGTACTGTGTCCCCAACCTACCTGGTGTACTGTGTCCTCCACCTGTTTGTGTATGTGCATGTTGGGGAAGGCAATGATGGTGAAGGTGTGAGTCCTGACAGCCATGTCCACCACCTCCTCTGTGATGTCTTGCTGGTGCTCCATGTGCCGAGAAAACTGGGAGGAAAATATTGAAGGGAACACTTTGAACATTGAAATACCAAAATAGTTTCAAACATCATGATCAATGCTTGTACAAAAATGCCATTATCATATATACCTATCCTGCACATATCCTACCAAAGTCCAAAATGAATGGCGATCTATGAGCATCTTCAGTACTCTTTTGCCTAACATGACCCCCGTCACATCCAGTATCAGAAGACACGCCCCCTGTATGTCATTATTGTCTTTGAATGTCCCTCAGGGCTGATGGTACAGTGGGGAGGAAGACATCAGTCATGGGAGGGCCCTTGGGTAATGCAGGATAAGCACATGAAGAAAACATAATATTTTTAACTTATCCTGCATAACCAGCCATAACCTTCGGTACTCTAAGGAGACCTTGGCTTATGATTGGGTAACAGCGTCCCAGAATAACGTTGTCACGGCAACCCAGGAAATGGGAACCTAAAACCAAGAGGCGTTTTGTCCTTGTCAAGGGAGAGGGCTTTGTCCGCATAGTTCTGGCCATGTACTGGTTGCTTCTTAGAATGCTTTCGTGGTCGGAACGAGGTGTTATGGGATTCCAAGCTCCTATCCAAGTTTTCCAAAGCCTTCTGGAGTTTAAATGACCCCCCTCCATGCCGCAAGTCTGTTGGGAGGCTGCACCTTTTTTGGGTGACGGTGCTGTAGGCAGAAAATCTGCGTTTCTCGGAACTATATCGTGGAGACGGGTATCAGGTTTCACCTCATCATAATCAAGGTCAGAAGAAGACTCTTGATCAAATAGGGATGACCCTGACTTCCTTGATGCATGAAGGGGGATGAAACAGAAGGGGACTCTGGTCTATGGTGCCCCAGGGTGGATTATTGGAACATTTGCCTCACGCTAGGTGGGACAAGCAATGGGATCCCGACAGGCGCCTGACAGGGGAACAGCTGAGCCTGTTCATTGAGTGGCTCTGCATAATCGGTAAATGGCTGTTTGGTGAGTTGTTGTTTCTGACTGCCACCACCTTGGCTGACAGTGTTTAGAACTGTTCCATCAATTGCAGAGCCCAGGCAGGAAGTGCATCCTGTGCACTGGAAGGCACCGCTGCTTGAGGCGCCAATGCTGAAGGCAAAGGTGTCTTGGTAGACTAGGACGTTGTCTTAGGCCTCGGCCTCAGTGGTGGTGGAGTGGTCAGACATTCTGCGAAATGCCAGTTGTCGTTTCCTCTTACCATCAACTAAGTCTGTATCACAGAGGGAAGCACATTCGAGACACCTTTGAGTGAACAGACATGGCGTTAAACAATCTAGGCAGCAGAGATGAGGATCCTTCACAGATTTCTCGACATTACATAAACCACACTTGGCAGCAAACATCTGTAACATGGGAGTAAAAGGTACCCAATAAAAGCCCGCTCAAGTCTAGCTATTCGTACTGTGATGCGACGTCAAAGTGAAAAATTTATGAGCAAGTAAAAACATATTTTATACAACAAAAAAGTTTGATTAATCGATAATATGAAAATGCAACAAAAGTGAAAAACATTCATATCAAACATGAATCATGCTGTCGATAACAACCATACTCCAACAGGAAAAATGGCAGCCGTCATGAAGCATGACCCTAGGTGGAGGCATGGATTTTTTACATCTATGCATTGAAAATGCTGAATAACCTGGCCACTGAAATAAAAAGGATGTAAAACACACCAACAGTTTGAAATTCAACCAGCAAAGTATAGAATCTTTAAAAAAACAGGTAAGATCTTGTCTCAGTGATCTATCAGTGTCTTCAGTAACTCTTTTGCCCTCCATGACCTCCATAGAGGACAAAAGAGTTACTGCAGACACTGATAGGTCATCCTTCATTTCCAGGTAGGACTTCAGTAGTGAGAACAATGTGCAATATGTAATGCAGGATAAGTTAAAAATATGTTTTTTTTACATGTCTAACACATCATGAACATTATTCTGTGATTTGAAAACCCAAAATAACAACAACATTAAATAGAGATTTAAAACATATACTTTGTATCCTGTATAAAATATTAATCACACACATGATTTTGCTGGGCCCTGTCTCATCAGCGCTACGCTATCGAAAATCAATTTAAAGTATGGGAGTTGCGTCACCTTAGCATTAAGGTTGTTTTGTGGAACAAGACCTGGCACAGTAAAAAGTCAAATTGTTTCAAAAAGATGTTTGTCTGAGATACAAAATTGAGAAGAACATAGCCTTTACAAATGGTAATGTAGCAACATTTTATAAATCATGGATCTTTTATCACACATTGTTTGAAGAAGCAGAACAGCAATAACATATGTATCTTTTCTCATATTTGTTTCTTGCCAGGATAGTGTTTGAATAATATTTTGAATGCTTGACTGGGTGTATGTTTTGTTATATTTCTTAAAAATCACCTTGGCACCATTTCCAATACTTGTATTTAATTTTCCCAAATGTATACATACATTGTCTTCAGAATGTGAGGGTGACCATTGCCCTGGATGGCCATCCTCCTCATGTAACAGGGAAAAGGTGAAATAAAATGTATAAAACAAACAAAAAAAAGTCAAATTGTTTGTGTACGAAGACTTTGAATAAACATACCAGTCCTTGAAACCATTTGGATAGTTTTGATTTTGCTGTTTTGCCCTCATAGTCGTACATGATTGTCTCCCCTAGATAGCACCGAAGGCCGGGGAACACTGGTGGGACTGGCACAGCCTCTGTTGTGTCCTGATCATAACACAAAACATAATTGGGTAACGTAAGCACATGATAACACTACCGTTATCCATATGCCCATTTCCATTCCTTTAAGATACAGGAGCATTGTAAAAGGCCACTTCCAACTGATTACTTGTTTGTTTGTTGTGTTCCTATTTATTATCTTGCAGCAAAGCACAATACCAATGAATATAGTGAGTGAGGTGGGGTTAAACTAGTATGTGACCAAATAAATAGTTGTGTATGATCAACCTGGGAAGGGGTCTCCCTGCATCAAAACTAGCATACAAATGCACAAGATGCACAGTAAAGCAGGATGCATGTAAAGGGAAGTAACTGTGTGCTGTATTGGATCGCATTGTTTTTTGTAGTAGGTTTCATTTATTTGTTTGAAATTGGAAATAAAAACGAAACGTGCGGCGGACTTTATGATGCGGGCGGTGCCTGAGAACCAAGACTATTCTTTTTTAGCCTTTAGGTGATCATATTACAACTAGAATAAAGTATTCAAAGCAGCGAATAAACCCCTACACACTAACTCACTATACTAAGTTTAAAGTTACACATTATTTATTAAGAGCAAAAAATAAACCTTACCTTGTTTACCGTAAATGATCCAATCTCCCATGATGAAATACTGTGAAACAAGTCTTTGTCCTTCCACAACGTGAATAAAATATTTTCTAGCTTTGATCCACTTTCTGAAAACATAACATTTGTGTACCATTCATAGAATTTGTCATTTGCAATCGTATTTGCTTTTTCTACTGATACACATCTGTGTACCTCCAGTTATGGGAGTACCCCACATCATCACAGACTCTTATCAACCCCCCAATCAAGATACATTTCATTAAAGCACTACAAAAGGCATGGAAAGATTCAGGCCACTTGTATAAACCTAACAATGTATTCCCTGTTTTCAGATATTATATTTAGGAGATAAACATACTGTGTTTTCAATGTAGAGCTAGGTTACCTGTAGATTTAACTGCGCTATATTGAATTTTGAACCGAACACGCAGTGTGAGGTTTCAAATGTTAAATTTAGCGCAGTTTCAAGCAGAGGGAGTTTATTGTTATTTAATGGCCTCTGATTGACCAATCGGAATGAAGTAAATTCCAAATTCATGGTAGAATGTTTCATAAACTCAGCTACATTTAATTTACAACATACTGAATGCAACATCTGCCATAATATGTCCATATACATCATAAGTTATTTAAAGATTAGGAAATGTGTTATAAAAATGATTTATTACCTTGTTTACGGAAGAGGACACAGACTGGAAGATGTCTAGACACAGATATGTGTCGAAGCAACACATGTGAGGGAAAGTCCTTGAACAGAGGCTTGTGCGCTGTATAAAATAGTACAAAATAATACGTGTAATTTTTCCTTTGCACATCCCTTGACAACTTTTGGTGAAGGCAATTGAATGAATGCACAGTTAAAAAATACTTTTTTAACAAATTTGCAGAGCTCCAGTTAAGCTGAATATCTGTGTAACATACACAAAATATATCCATATTACCCAATTAAGTTTGAGTTGGTTGCATACCTTCACATAAAAATCTCAAACTCTGACTCTTACTTGTTTATTCTATGATGAAGAAATACCTCTCAACCTCTCTTATGTCTTATTATATAAGCACAGAATTTCTCTCACTCATTGATTGGACGCTTATTTGGAGCATCATGTTATTCAAATCAGGAACAAATCAAAACTATGCGGTGGATGGGTCTGGGGTATTCAACACAATGGAGATATAATGGACAATGTTCAAGGCCAGGCGACCAAATGAATTTCTTTTTTCATGAATTCATAAACTCTGAATTTTGAAAAAGTAAATCAAACTTTGCTGGACTTGATTGACAATATTTTGTATTTTCGCTTCTCAAATTAATATTTTTTTCACAACTTTTTTTTCCAAGAAGTCTTTTTTTAAATTAAAAATCAACCACATATTAGTGTTGTTATCTTCCATCCAAACCTATAAATCTTACCTCGCTAGTCTGATGTAAGAGGGATGGCATGTGCATTGTCATTCCATAAGAGAGACATTACGAAGCTTTGTATCACTGCCAGAGTATCAAATTTACTTGTGAAATATATTCTTTTACATATATGTTATATATTACATATATGTCGCATTTTTATCTCGTGCATATATATAGATTATGTGTTTTCATAACAATCATGCAAGGCCTATTCAAAACAAAACAAAATACACAATGTTGTAGTTTTTTAACCCAAAACATAATTACTGTATCGTTTTTTTGTTCAGTGGGTTATGGTAACCGTAATTCCGATTGTTATTTTTCACAAAAAAACATTTATATATTAAAGGTGTACATATTTTGTGACATACCAGATACTTGGAGTATTATAAGCATTAGAATCGTGACACATTCGAGAAAGTGGCGTCCTTCCCAACCAGCCATTGTTGGAGTTCAGTGCCCGAGAGTTATTCAGGAAAGACAACTCTAAACATCTCTTGTCATATTAGTCGAAGCGCTCGTAAACCTTTCAGGTACTCTCCATTCAAAACCCTGGACGACTCTGGTCAATCCGTGATTACCAATTTAAGGTATAACCCAAGTTAACTTTGGTTGAGCAATGTTAGCATATGTTTGTTGGCCAGACATACTGAACTCTGGTTATACGTCGCAGGCTCCAAGCGACGTCGTCGTTGAAGCTGATTAATTTCATTTATTGATTCATGAATAAAACCATATTGATGAATTTAATTAACTAGACCAGTCTAGGTGTAGATATACAATATATAATTATTCTGATATGCGTCAAGGTAAAATGCATTTCGATTGTTTATATATAAATACTTAAGAATCAATCATGCAACTTTGATGATGGTTTTGCAATCTGGTTGGTGTTCGAGCGTAAGTTTCAACTTTCTTGTCCCACATAACATCCATTAACTAGAAAACGTACAATGGCAGTTTTATTAAGCAATAAATGGTTAAACTTAAGTTTAAAGGTTGAATCTCACATTATAATAATCGAACGCAGGTGATGTAATATTTGATCTAATGGATAGAGCGTCTGCCCGGATAGTGGATGTCGGTGGTTCGATACCCGGCCGAGTCATACCGAAAGAGGTTAATATTTGGTACTAGTTGTTACCCTGCCTGGCGCATATAATCAAGGGGATTGGACTGGTACACACACACACACACACACACACACACACACACACACACACACACACACACACACACACACACACACAGATGAAGAGAGAGAGGGCATTCACGTCCTTTTGTAAGTGCATTAATTTTTAATTTTCAACGCGACCATTTCACCCACAGACAGAGATATGGGATGGGGGATGTCACGCCGCTATGCGAGTGCATTAATCTTGAACACGGTCATTTTACACAGAGAGAGAGAGAGAGAGAGAGAGAGAGAGAGAGAGAGAGAGAGAGAGAGATAGATAGATAGATATATCCGGGCACAATGTGTGAAGCCCATTTCTGGCGTGATATTGCTGAATATTGCTAGAAGTGGCATCGTAAAATCATACCAACTAATTCATGTTTCGTATAGAAAAGGCGAGGTAGGATGAGGGCAGTTTTTAGTCCACAGGATCTGCATAAGTTAGGAATTGAGCAAAACTATGAAACTGATATGAAAGGTGTGATCATGTGAATGAGAACTTGACTTTGTTCAGGTGAACTACTGCATGTTTGAGGCCTCTGACAACATTTACTACGCAGGTAAGGGTACAATGTGTACCCCTATTACACAAGCGTGGTCGCAATGCTATTCTAGTAGTTGTTATACCCCTCTGAGTCCCCCCCCCTTAAACCTCCCTTCCTGTCCCCGAGATAAGCTGTCAAATAATAGTTGTTTAGGAGATGATTGCGGATAGAGTTGATTGGAAAATACAAAAGATTGAACACTATCGTCGGTACCCGAGAACCGAGGGATAATTGATTCGCACTAATTTACTGCAAGCGTTGAAACATTTTCTCCTCGATAAATAGTTATCAGAACACATTATTGAATCGATGGAGCTTCCCAAATGTCAAATCGTGACATGTTAATACAACCGTAAGTAATTATTTATTGACCATAGTTCATCGAAATATCAGGTAACCATAAATTTTCTTATGCAACTTGATTCTGCTTGTGTAAGCGTTTGTCTACATAAATCCTTTTAAAAATCATATACATGCTATTATCCAAGGAAGGAGGGGGTGGGGTGGGGTGAGGGGGGGGGGGGGGGGGGGGTGAATAGGGGTGTGCTTAACCCAATGGATGTTGTTTTTATGACGCACATTTACCACAGTATTTATTTGACATATCTATAAATCACCTTTCAATGATCGGTCAATTGCACAGCGAATTCATCGATTTCAGCGAGTAAGCGAGCAAGCGGGTTGGGTTTAACGCTGCTATGTACCATAGATTTCAGTTATTTCACGGTGTGAGTCAGCTAAATTGGTGCGATGAGAGGGGGCTGGGGAAGCCGGAATTGATGCATATGATTGTGTGGTGCTGGGATTCGAACCCACGATCATAAATTTATGATTCAGCCTATGTCATAAATATAGGAATGAATCGCTATCAAATAGTGATGATGCAGGTGTTCGCGAACGGTTAGCATTGCCTGCCCCACCGACAGCACTTGTCACAAACACATGCAAAGGCAAGTCAATTGTACACCTGAAAAAGCTGTCCAAGTTGGAAATGTCCTCCACATATCTACCATAAACCTTTCGAAAGCTTCATTAAGGCTTTGTATGTTGTAGGCCTTGTCAAACCACTTTTTAAGCAAGAGTCGTAGAACACGCTCTTTGGCGCTCGACTGTACTCAAAATTTGTGAAGCTGGAGCTACTGGAGTATTTTTCGAGAGAGAGAGAGAGAGAGGGAGGGAGGGAGGGAGGGAGAGAGAGAAGGAGGAGGGGGTATCCACTTCATGAGAGAGAGAGGGGTATACACTTCATGAGAGAGAGAGGGAGAGAGAGAGAGGTATCCACTCCATGAGAGAGAGAGGGGTATCCACTTCATGAGAGAGAGAGAGAGAGAGAGAGATGTACCTCACTTCATTAGAGAGAGACCTTTGGTATGATAGATGTGAAGGCTAACCTCCACATGTTCTTCCTTCGAATACAAAACAGTGTATGAAATACCTTTTAACTATTAACGATACATCACAGCAACTTGAAATAGCACATCAAACACATGAGGAATGATATATATTAGAACCTGATTATCCCGGACAGGCTGTGGTATGACCTATTCGTAGAGGAAGTAGTATACACCCACCCCTCAAGGGTAGCGTATGTGTCAGTTACTGCCAGTCAAATAGTTTAGGTGTCAACTACAATCATATATACATAGAATTAATGTCTCAAGAGAAAACACTTGCGGTCTACATTTATAGAATAACCCACGAGGTACGAGTGATTACGGAAAATATGTCACGAGTGAAATTAATGTTTTAAGTTCCGAGCTTTAGCGAGGAACTTAAAAGATTAATTTCACGAGTGACATATTTTCCGTAATCACTCGTACCTCGTGGGTTATTCTATTTATTACCCATAGTCATATTAAAGACATGTTTCAAGAAAAAAACAATGAACTGTCGCCGATCAAGAAACAGCTGTTTTGTATCAATCCGCGTGTGAAAAAACACTGTCCACTCACTCCAGCCGCATTACTCAATCAACAACGTCTTGCTACGCGTAAAAATATAGTTCTGTTAACAAAACTTGAAAGATCACATTATTGCAGTTATATTTCTGTCTGAGTTATACAGCGTACACTATCTACCATTGATAAAAGAAGACAATTTCCAAAAAAGGTTCAACAGGCTTTTTATTCAAGGCTTGTTTTGACAAGACCTCTCATTGACAAGACAATAGCCGTCGTGCATCACCATGGACATGAATTTTTACATTGAGAAGAGGAAACACGGAAAACCTGTCAATTTTTTCATGTGTCATTCGGTAAAAATGCAAAAACCTGTATCAACAACATAGAAGGAATTTACAGAAGTCATGTTTGATTGAGAAAAGTTACGACAAGTAGGTAAACTTTGAAAAATACGATTGCTGTCAGTGTCGGAAAGAATGACCCGACTTGACCCAGATATGAGACAGCCGAAACCAGGAATGACAAGAGAACCGGCGTTACAGTTTAATCCGGACAACAAGTTTAATGAACATCGTTTGTGATTTGAGACAAGTGTGACTGATGGGAAACATGTGCATGTGGGATTTTAGGAGGACTTGTCTGAGTCAAACGCGCTTGTGGAGTGGACACAGTCAGATAACGGGAGTTTGTTGATATTTTGATGTGATTCATAATATGGTCGAATACCTGTTGATAGACTAACACGGTATCTGGAGACTTGGTGACAAGCTGTCCGCATTCACGGAGTTCATTTAGTTCAATGTCGGACACAGGATCACCTCGCTGGGGTAAGTTTTCTTTTCCTTGTATTTTTAATTATTTTTGTTTTGATTTCAAAACCTATTTGAGTTCAGCAAAGTGCATCGATTTCGCAACCAGATGTTGGTAATCTTGTCGCTAAGGTAGCACTCGGTGCTACCCTTGATCTCCTTCAAAGTACGCATTTCGAATTCTGAACCGTCTGATGTGCATGCCGAAATGATAAATTTGCAAAGAATAATGTTTAGTTGCACCTTTCCTGTGTCATTAACCTCATAGTCTTATGGTGCCCGGACGTCAGTCAGCCTACATACCGCTCAGCGCCGTACTGTGCTGACGTCGCGGTTACAAAAACGTATAGTATACATTGTATAAAAAAGTGTCGCGTTCTTATTTCTTCACACAATGTTACAAACTTAAATTCTACGAAATGGCGTATGTTTATAATGTCTTTCGGAAAGTCTAACTGTTGTTGCAAAAGGAATTTGTTTTTATTCTTATGCCATCATTGATAGTGTGAGTAGTCTTATTTTTCGTGTTTTTCTTACCAGTAGCCTATAAATTTGAACTAAGTTCATGTCAACTTGTCAAATTTAGTCTTTTTCATTGTGTTTTCCTTTTCATTGGCAGTTATCGATGTCATCATCGTTCACAAAGGCAAACCTGTCTATACAAAGTCCGGTTTTGGGGATTCGTGTGGTCGAAATATTCGCCAAACAGCAAGTCCTCTAACACAGACGCAAATCCGGACTTGGTGGTGTTGAGTTTTAGCGCACTAGAAACAGTTTCTGGCAACATCACAATCTGAAACTTGGAACTTCAATCTGGCCATATGCAGTTTTGACAACAAAGACATGAAATGTGTTCAGAGGTTGAATTATGCGAAAACTCTTCCTGTCAGATCTCCGTCTACTTTAACGAGGTCATTTAGTTTGACAGGTGTCAAATGGTCAGCCATGTTCGTTTACAAACAATGCAGACGTAGTTTTGTTTTTTGTAATTACGCTTATTGTAAACTAAAACTCGTGCG